TGCGTTCGATTCCAATCAGAGGCATACAAAGTACTTACTAAGTTTTTCATTGTAGATGACTTACCTTTGCTGTCTGTAACTGCAGATGTAGAGCGAAACTTCCTGTACCAAATTCAATTAGAAAACTAACCAAGAGGCGCATTCAAGGAAAATAAATAAAGTTGAGCGTACTATTCACGCTTGTCTTGTTTTTTCACTTGCATTTCCGTTGCTACGAACAAAGTTTCCACTCGTAGCGGAAAGAGGAAAATGCGGGCAATTGAAGAGCCTAATGCTTATGACTCACGATGACATTTTATTTCTACTTACATATTAATTATTTATGCTATATTTCCTCCTCCATTATGTAATCTCCGATTCCCCGATGTCATCCAGTCGATAACGGTCATAGCCACCATCATCAAACAACCACAAAAACAAGTGAAAACACGTGTAAAGAGAAATATTATAATCTATCTGTTGACCCCGGACCTTATTAACACGATGCCATGATATGATTATTGATATAAACACGCATTTTACTGCTTAACTATCTCAAGTTGCAGTTATCAAATTAAAAAATATTGTTACCTACTTGCGTATCAGTTTTTCTTCGCAGTTGCTTTATGAAATAATAATAAGTATTTACATCGGCTATTAACTTAGGTTAAGTACTTTATTAATTTATCGATGAATGTCGACCTACCTAGTAAATAAAGCTAAGTTATCAATTATTATGACTTGTTCCTTTGTACAGACCTAAGTGACAAACAGAAATCTGTTATCCATGACAATGGTAATGGGTGTGAAATGCTAGATGCATAATCGCGAAGGGGAAATTCGGAAGAAAGAATGAAAGGAAAATTCTGGAAAATGCACACAATCGCGAAGGGGTGGGTGGGACTCTCCTCACTTATCCATACGATTACATCACATCACAATTTTATTATGTAAAAACTTATCATATCAACAGAGGTTACAGGTCGTAGATTGTACTTATTTTAAAAATAAGTATTTTGTAATACATCAATTTTATTTTTTTGCCCAAATTATCAACATCAAAGACCTTTATCAGTAGATCATAGGCAGAGCAAGGTCTGATGTATGAAATTTAAAGTAGGTACCTAAACTATTCATGACAAGCTAGTGAACGCCAGACCAACGTCATTTTATAAAAGCTGAAAGTTTGTCAGCGTACTAACATAGGATAGAATGTTGGTGAATCGTGGCTTTGGCAGCTATCCTAAAAAAACTGACTGGCTAGGAGTTGGAACTGTCAAAACTGTCTGGCTGATGAGGAAACTTACTTCTAATTATAGCATTTCTCTATTTTAGTTGAAATGGAACGCGAAAGTTTTAAATCTTAAAAGAAACAAGTCATTGCTATTCCTACTAAATAACGTCACAGACGGTTATTAGTAGATACTGTTGAATGGACGCGCATTATATTTGACCTGAACCTAACCTGTTATAAGATAAACAGCTAGTCCATACCAGTTCATATTATATAGCCACTTTTATTTTCGTTCAGAAAATATATAATAATTATAATTTCGTTACAGACAGTGGTGACTGAGTTTGTTGCGGCGCTTCTTCTCAGCACTTGCCAAATGTTGGTCTCGAAGCGCTGGTAGGGTAAAAAGAATATGAGACATGTAGAGGCTCCTTAAGAGCATATGACGATTTGTAAGAACTATTTATTAGTCTAAACAAATAAAGAAATTTTGACTTTGACTTTGACTTTGACTTTGTTCTACACTGTCATAATGCAGACACATGATCCAATCTAGTACCTAGTTGGAAGAACTTAAATTATTTTTATATTAATTATGTAACTTACCTACTTACTAACCGAAAGCACTCGTCTTGAATGACTCGGAGGAAGGAATTGTAGAGGATTTTGGTCTAAATGGAGAAGGGCAGAAAATGTTAGATCTGCACCAGTGGGATTAAAATTACAAATAATATTATTTATTGCTGTGTAGCTGAGATGATGATGATGATGAGGTAGGTAAGTATGAAGATATTAATTAATGGATCAATAAAATTAAAATGCGCTAAGCCACAGGTTCAGCCAGATCGATATGCCACTCGTAAATGCACTCGATAAATAGGTAAAAAATATTAATTACCTCATGAATAAGCATCAACGGATTAAATACCCTGATTACTTTGATAACAGAGAAAATTTTAATAGGTACCTAGTTATTATAAATGACTAGCTTTCCGCCCGCGGCTTCGCCCGCGTGGAATTTTGTCTGTCACAGAAAAACTTTATCGCGCGCGTCCCTGTTTCAAAAACCGGGATAAAAACTATCCTATGTTCTTTCCCGGGACTCAAACTATCTCTATGCCAAATTTCATCAAAATCGGTTGCGAGGTTTAAGCGGGAAAGCGTAACAGACAGACAGACAGACAGAGTTACTTTCGCATTTATAATATTAGTTGGGATAACACTTTCCGCATCGCACAGAGAAATAATGCATCGATGGGAAATCTGCTAAGGTATCCTTATATTTTTCCTTTACTTACAATGGTATTTGTTTGTTATAAAGACCCAACTCTCGTCAAGTGCAGAGTTTAAAAAAAGTATACCTAATGCTTTATAGATTTGTTTCAGTATAAACGGCAGGTTACTTTTCACTTACACTGAAAATTTTATTGTGAGCTTTACTCCTTTTATTATTTAAGCGAGAAGAATGTGGATTTCGAACTTATCTGTTCAATGTTAAAACCAAGAATAACATAAATTACGTTTGCAAAACATAGCCGATATTGTTTAAGAACCTATGACAACTTTGATAAACTTTAACTTTCAAATATACACGCAATAATATCGCGATTTCATGATTGGCTGTTTTTAAACGTGTTTCTGATGTAACTGTTTCGTAATATTCTAAGCTCACAAACACAACTAGATCTTCTATTCCTTATACTATAATTTTATTAGTAATAAATATCTCCCTCTTAACAACCCTTTGAAGAAACTTGAATAAAGGTTGCATTAAATTTTACATATAAAACATACTTACTTAGTAGCTTATAATAGTTACCAATGACTCTTTCAAGACGTTTCCTGTCTTTACTGAATTGTTATAATGCTTAATTAAAAGTGTTTACATAAAGAAATCTGGTAATACATAAACACACCGTATATTTACAAAACAAAACTTTTTAAAAGCTGACCTGTGTCCCCAACAAAAGTTTTCTAAACATAAAAAATGATAAAGGAGTTCAATGTATCTCTGACGAGTAAGTAGTGATGAGGAGCATTGAGAACCGTATTTTTTATTAAGCAGACCTTGTGATGCTGGAATTATATGGGATATTTTACACGATTACAAACCTACGGGTAGGTGATAGTGATAAACCTAATGATAGTCATTGATGCTACGATCGGAAAAGATGCCTAGAAAGACCAATGATTAGCCTGGCAAAGATTATACAAATGGCCCATTTGAATTAATAGGACAAAACCAAAACAAAAATATTATTCTCAATAACACAAGTATCCATCCAATAATAATCTAATAACATAAACATTTCTGTTGCATGAACATGTCACATAGAGTTGAGAACAACATTGATAAAGAAAGTTATTATTGTTAGTTAGATGCTGGATGCTATGAACCTTTCGTACCATGTTAAATGAGAAGTCTATATTCACCAGTAAATCCGGAGGTAGATTGTGATATGTGCGCAATGTACAAATATAAATTGTAGGTACCTTTTTTATCAAAAGACACTGACCTAAACCTAAAATCTAAAACCCAAAACTAATCAGAGCTTTACAGGTATGTACAAAATTTAAAATTCTCGTGCTCATCGCACTAACATTTGTCCCCATCTGGATTCGAACACGCGATCGGATGATTTCAAACTCGTAAGGCGAATCGTCATGCCGGATCGCTATTTATCAGAGTTGTCAGGCATGTACTGAGATTTAAAAATAAGTAATTAGCCTAAAATGTTACATCAACATTATACTTAGTTCACAATGTGGGAAAATTTCATCATGCATCGTCTACCTAAGCGCGCCTGATTCGCAAAGGCATAAGGCTTATACCTACTTACTTTCGGATTTACACGTGCCAATTCTGAGGCTGTTTACTGAAAACATTTAACGCGTTTTGGTATGCAACGCTAGAAGTAATTTGAACCCTAGCGAGACCAAACAAACCTTAGACAGTCAAGAAATTCAAGTGTAAAAAGATTTTACCTACCTTATAACTTAACGATATGACGATCAGACAAATGAAAACTTTGATCCCATTTATTTATTGCTGTCTGAGACCTAGGGATACCTCATACCTACTTACGTACTGGCGCGTGATATCCCAAGGCCCGGAATATAAAATTAATTAAAATACAATAATTAATTACCATGACGTTCATATTCAAGTAAAAGTCCAGGGACCTCGAGTTTTTTAATCTTTCTTAGTGACCATTATTATCGCATTTAAAAAACAAACCTACTTACATAATTTAGTTACTATTAATATTGACCTACTTCTCTTGCTTGTTACTTATCTAATACCTACCGTCCATGTAGTGATTGAATAACGTGGGTAACATTAAGTAGGTAGGGTAGGTAACGTAGGGTAGTCTGTTAGGCAAAGAAGTTTACTTGTTATAAGTAGATCGAAATGTTATCAAATTTCAATTCTACGTAAGGGCACTACTTTAGTACTATATGGTAAGTGTAAGGTAATTTTAGAAGAGTAGAATAACTCGACGAAAGCTACAGTAGAAAAAACAATCTTTTAGCCTTTATTTGTATAATTATGACACTTAGGTGATATTTGTTTTATTTATTGGTAAAATTATCACTGATTCTATGTTACTACTACCTACGACGACCTACTTTCAATTTGTGCTTTAATAGATACTAATCATATTGGTATGCATTTTATTTTTTAACCGAGCCCCTGGACTATGTTTTAATATCAATCGGCGAATGACACATCACAATCTACCCGCTGCGTAAAGTATCTCAGTATATGTATTACCTAAAAGGCATCTCAATTCTCAGTTTATCCCGAGCAACAGCAACCGCTGAATGTGCAGTGCAACTTTGAAATCCTTTTCATAAGTGCGGAACAGTGGACATAAGTGATAGTGAAAATATAGCTAGATAACTTGAATTAATACTTAATTTGAGTTAAAAACAGAAGCATACGAGTGTGTAAAGGTAGATTTGATTATTTCTTTTATTTTAATAATTAAACATTTTGTTGTTTTTATATTTTTATGCTATTTTAATATAAACAAAACCGGCCAAGTGCGAGTCGGGCTCGCGCACAAAGGGTTCCGTAGCAGCAAATATAATAAACTTATTATGTCAATTTAATCAACCTATCTCAAAAACTATAAGAGATACTTTGATCAAACCAAAAATCGTTGAAAGAGTTAATTAGCATGCATCACCTCTATTTTTTTTAGAATTTTATACCCCGTAGTTATAAAAATAGAGGGGGGGGGACATACTTTTTACGACTTTGAGAGCTGATATCTCAAAAACCGTTCACTTTAAGAAAAATGTTTTTTAGAAAACTTTATATCATTTTAAAAGACCTTTCCATTGATACCCCACACGGGTATGTACATCGAAAAAAAATTTTCATCCCTCAGTTACATGTATGGGGGGCCCCACCCCCAATTCTTTTTTTTACTATTTAGTGTCATAATTTTGTAGCGGTTCATACAACACATATTCCCATCAAATTTCATCACTGTAGTACTTATAGTTTCCGAGTAAATCGGCTGTGACAGACGGACAGACGGACAGACGGACAGACGGACAGACGGACATGACGAAACTATAAGGGTTCCGTTTTTGCCATTTTGGCTACGGAACCCTAAAAATGGAGTTGATCTTTACAGAATTAAAGGAAATACAGTAACAGGCGATATTTATTTAGGAAAAAATAAGCATTGCCTTTATTAAATTGTTGATGACTTTCTTTAGTTAACGCCTTTGCTGCCTGTGTAAACCCAAAAGTAAAAAAAAAACAAAATGTCAAATTTCGCTATTCTTTGTAAAAACGTCACAACATCGCGACGATTGATTTTATTTATTGCTTAGATTAATAAAACTTTAATTACAATTAATCTAAGATTTATTGTAAAATTGCGTGCGCATTATTGAGATTTCCTGTGTACTGTGTAATGCGTCAATGTAATGACATCACTATTTATCACGCAACCTATGTATTTTATTTCCACTTTATCGTCACACTAGCCATTTGAGATTACGTTCAATAACCTAGTTTAAAACTTGGCGGCTCTAAATTACGTATCCTTTTCAGGTACAACAAAATCAAAACATACGATTTTGACCAATAGCTGTGCTCGAATTCGATAGCGGCTGAAGTCAACCTCGCTTCCGATTGGCTAATATCCACAGTTTTGCGACGTCTCTCCAACCTTATAAATATCAGCGCAAACTCACGCCGGACCTCTTTTCCACAGTGTTAATTCAGGGGGACTCTTACCGGGTTATTTTAGTGAGCTAACTCTAATTCAGAATGCCGGAGACATCAAAAATGAATGGATATGCTAAAACAAATGGACACAGTTTTGACATGGAAGATGGATCAGTGTTTCTGTTCACATCTGAATCAGTCGGCGAGGGACATCCAGGTTAGTTTTCCTCTAATCTACTCGGTGCAGGAGGTGTGCGATTCGAAAAATGGCCGCCTCAGACATGTGCGTAGATTTAACTCATCTACCAAAACTTGACTCTTCGTAGCATGAAAACCTGCTACTCAGAAAAAACATGGTGATAATAAGCAAAACGTACGACAACGTTGCAATACAAGTAACCCGCGCAATTATTGATGTTTTGTTACATCATACGACCATTTAGCCATACAATCCAGTTTCAAAATAATCACTACACGTGGTCGGAGTCAAACAGTGATGAAATTCTTAACATTTTGTGAAAATGGAATGTGTTCATACCGGGGGATATTTAATCAATTGCACTATTTCTTTCAGACAAAATGTGCGATCAAATTAGTGATGCTATTCTCGACGCACATCTGAGACAGGATCCCGACGCTAAAGTTGCATGCGGTGAGTGCTAAATCTTCCCTTGGTTGGTGACATGTGTTTAGTGAAAGAGCAAAAAGTGAACACTTTGTTTTGTCAACAGAAACCGTCACAAAGACTGGCATGGTCTTACTATGCGGTGAAATTACCTCAAAAGCCAATGTTGACTACCAGAAGGTTGTGAGGGATACAGTAAAGCACATTGGATATGATGACTCTTCTAAAGGTAAGCCTAAATCCTTGAAATCGTTAACTAGTTACTATTAGTAAACAGTCAGCTGGCCTGCAGCCAAGCACTGAAAACTAGATTTAACTCTGTCTGAATTTTGTAACCTCTCTTGTAGTAATAGAAAAATATTGTTCCACACACATTAGGTTTTGATTGGCGTACACTAAACTTATTAGTGGCAATTGAAGAACAAAGTCCAAACATAGCTGACGGGGTGTATCAGGCCCGTGAAGAACTAGATATTGGGGCCGGAGATCAGGTATAGAAAATCAGAAAGCCTGCTGCACGATATAAACGGTTTCCAAATGGGGAAAAACCAAAATTGGGATTCACATTGCATGTTACTCATGAGAAATTTTCAAAATTAATATCATACTATGGGTTACTCATTTCAAAATTTCTTATTTGGCTCTTTATTGACCTAAAATCATCTGCATCCTGGTTTCAACTCTAAGTGCAAATTACCCTATTTCACTTCATGACTTTAAATAAATTAGGCAGTATTGAAAAGAAAATAATTAGGGATGATACTTATCATGATAATGAATAGATACATAATCATTCATCACGTTAATAATGTGCATGTTGGGACCAGGGTTCGATTACAAGACTTGCTGTGTGATGCTTGCGCTGGCCCAACAGTCACCAAACATTGCTGCAGGCGTGCATGAGAACAGAAATGATGAAGAAGTAGGAGCTGGTGATCAGGTACGTAACCCCTTCCTGCTCATTTAAACCAACTAATAAAATATCATGGGTACAAACCTAAACCATGAAATCAGCTAATGCTTAAGCTTTCCTAAAAGTGCCATGAAAAGTAATAAACTAATAAGTACTTTTTGACATGTTTATGATAATTGATGATTTGAATTTATTAAAGTTATAATCATATCAAAACCACGAGTTTATGTTTAACTTCAAAAGCTGTTTTGTGAAATTTGTTAATTCTAAAATTTCAATAATTTCTTCTGAATGTTTCCATAGTTTGTATGATTTATGACTAACCAGTGGGTCTAGACAAAGTGCAAATTATAATCGCAAACCAGTCGAAAAGTGGTTGAAAAGCCCCTTTTTTGTATGGAGTTTTGACGGATTCGATTTTCGATTCGATCAACAAGTGCGTTTTGTCTAGGGGGGCAGGCCAATTTTAAAAGTAAAATTAAGTAAAGTTCTGTTCAAACCTCTTTTGTTTTTCAGGGTTTGATGTTTGGCTATGCCACTGATGAAACAGAAGAATGCATGCCCCTGACAGTGGTCCTAGCACACAGACTAAACCAGAAAATTGCTGAACTCAGGCGAAATGGTGAATTCTGGTGGGCCCGTCCAGACTCCAAGACTCAGGTAAATCCCAACTAATATTATAAATGCGAAAGTAACTCTGTCTGTCTGTCTGTCTGTCTGTCTGTTACGCTTTCCCGCTTAAACCTCGCAACCGATTTTGATGAAATTTGGCATAGAGATAGGTTGAGTCCCGGGAAAGAACATAGGATAGTTTTTATCCCGGTTTTTGAAACAGGGACGCGCGCAATAAAGTTTTTCTGTGACAGACAAAATTCCACGCGGGCGAAGCCGCGGGCGGAAAGCTAGTATTTGTATAAATTCTGTAATAAAGTTGTGTATGGTTCCATTTAACTATCTAGTTGCCATAGTACAGCTATGCTTTGATAAAGATATTATTATTAATATTATATTAAATTACATCATGAGTCACAAATCTGTCATATTTTTTCTGTGCTGTTTAAATCACTGTTATCAGTTTTGGGTCACAACGATTGACCACGTTAAAATTGTTTGTGTCGTAATTTTATATTGTACATTTCTTTAAAGTTTTAGCAACAAATTATTATCTCATGACCCTTGAACTAGGAAAAAACTTATAGTTTATCTGTCACATTAAAAATTACATATCATGAATATTATGGCATGCCTATTAATATCATTCAGCATTTAAACTCTAAATCAGAACTCGTTGCTCAAGATTAGGGAAACATTAAAATGCAGATTATTTAAAATACATGTGTACATTTCAAAGATAACTTAACCTTGTAATCTAACACTGCCTATCATCTGTTTGTTTACAGTAGATCCATGTAAGATTAATAACATATTCAATTAAAAAGCTGATTAGCCAAGATAAAATGAAATGAGCATGTTCAGTAAAAAATATAGGGTGCAGCACTTTTTGTTTCCCATGTGGTTTTAGGTTTTAATTATAATCATCAAACTGGAAGATCGTGTTACGCAATGTGATCGTCAGCGGGTATCAATTGTTCCGTGCGCAGCAACAGACAAACGGCTGTCTGCGACATTTGAGCCAGCTCATAAGGACTGCTCAACCACACACAGTCTGATTGGACTTGTTAAATTTCGCAATTGTTTCAATGGAACGAATTTGCGTGAAACTTTGCTCTAAGCAGAATATTTACTGACGGTATTTATTATTATTGATAAATCAGTAATATAACTAAATCACAATAATAAAAATGGTCACACTGACATATCTGAATATCAAGTCAATAAAGTACAAATAAAAGAAAGAAAGAGAAAAACTACACTAGCATTATTTACACACCTTTTTAATTACACAATCGTGCTAGTAGGCGCGCTTCGGAATGATTCATCGGAAAATCTATGAAGATTTTTTCTCTGAAATCAAACAATTTTCCTGCTTCTTTGTTATGTATAATCTAATGTATATGCTTACTCATGACATTTGCATTATGTTTATTTATTATAAGTATCTTTAAAACATTTTAATAGATGAAAAGTTAAAGTATCATTAAGTTGGTTGTATATTTAAATTACTAAATTATATGTTTTTAACTTGTGTTTTTCAATTACTTCCAGGTGACATGCGAATATAACTTTGTTGGTGGCGCCACCGTGCCACAAAGGGTACACACAGTTGTGGTTTCTCTTCAGCACTCTGAGAAGGTAATTTTTAATTGATAACTTTTAATCAATTTCAAATTTTTATTGACAATAGCTTAAATTTTTTATTTAATTCAAAGAAAAAAAATTAAGGCTTAATTTACATAATGCAGCCACTTCCATGTTCATAAAATTATAAAATAAATAAATATGCAAAAAATACTGCAAAATCATATTTTTCAACATATTATACAAGATAAATTTCTAAATGTCTCATCTTTTTAATTTGTTTTTATTATCAGATCACACTGGAGACATTGCGCGAAGAAATCAAAGAAAAAGTAATCAAGGAGGTGATTCCCGCACAGTATCTGGATGACAAAACTGTGATCCACATCAATCCATGTGGACTCTTCATTATTGGTGGACCTCAGGTTAGTAAAATAATAATAAATAAAAATCCTTTGTACAGTCTATACATTTTTGTTGCAAAATAGCACTTATATTACAACAATATAAGGTACTATCGGGGACTCGAACGCCTTGACACCTTAAGGGCCTAAATTGTTTGCACACACACGCTCGATTATGCTCCGCCCCCGTTCATTCATATTTCGGGTCTAAGCAGCGTCGGCGCACCACTGTAGATGTTTGCCCTAGCAAACCAAGCTCTATGTAAAGCAATTAGGATTGAGTATTGCTTATTACCCGCATCCGTAGCGCTCGTTTGGCAACGTCGCATTTTAGTCAATTTGAAACCCAATAAAGAATCGCTACAAAATATTATATGAGGCTTCGTGTAAAATTTGAACTAGCGATTGCCCGCTCGGGTCACAAAATTGCTATCGCACATTCCGAGGTAACTATGCAATTTCCCGAGAAAAAAGTAGCCCTTTCTACAATTATTGTTGGTATTGTGAGTGTAAATCTCATGTTTAGCTAGTTAGGGCGAGAAATACAAAATCATACAGTTGCTTTCGAATTTTACTTATTTAATAGGTATTTAATTTATTCGGAACTTATTTAAACAATATGTTATTGAATTAATTAGTAAAGTGTTAAGGAATATTTGTGGCTTAAAAACAATTATTGTAAGATCTGGCTATAACTTTCTTAAATCCTTGAATGTAAATAAAAACTTATAATAGGTTTCTATTTATTTTTAATGCATATTTTGTTTTCCGTTTTAAAGAAACACTTATCTTTAAAACGGAACATCTCACATCCAGGTAATTGGTTATCGTAAATATTATAATATTAAGTTAGTTTTATTTCAAATTCAATTTTTTATTGCACATTAAGTGTCTTTACACAAGGTCTTAAATCAATAACAATTAAACTTCAAACTAAATAATACTTAAACAGTTAACAATGTATAGATAAGTTTGTAAGTAAATATAAGAATTATTTTGAGAGGCATGGTTCAGTAATCGAGCGGAGGTCAATAAAAAGGCAATCAAACAGTCCAATTACTAGCACGGGTCAACACAAATCAATCGGTTATTGATCACGAAACTTCACAAAAAAACAAAGGAGAGAATATGTCGACAGATCGCCAAAGCAAAAAGCAGACAGACCTCGTATAAAAACACAATATTAAAAAAAATACATATCTATTTGTTTGTAACCAAATTCTATTATTAAAATTCTAAGGCTGAGTTGCACCATCTTACTTTAACTTTAACAAACGTCAAAATTCTGTCAAACTCCATACAAAAAGGACCGGTTACCGTTATAGTTACGGTCAAAGTTAGGTGGTGCAACTCAGCCTAAAACTAAGAAAGATTGAAGAAAAAGAAACATTTCGTTTTAAACCTTAACCGTATGACAATAAAGTGCACAATGGTATTTCGTATTGCAACCTAAGCCCTGATTGTCTCTTATTGGTCGTAGTAAAAATATAGTAAAATGCGTAACCAATTAGAGACGCGGTGAGCACGTGACCGGAGCGATGCGCTTACGCTAAAATTTCTACAAAGTGGTCAGGCGGAAGAGTCCCCGATAGTACGTATTTAGCTTGACGTACTGTCGTTTGTACTATTATTAAACAGCGGCGTCTAGACCCAAACTCCCAAACAAATAATGATTTTAATAACATGGTGCTACAGTTATCAATCAGTAGAATAAAGTATATGTTACTACCAGAAGTCTTGTTACCATGTTACATAATAAATATGCTTTCGTTGTATGCTATGACGGTGATTTAAGCATGTAAATTGATTTGACAGAAACATAAATAATACGATTTTTTATTATTTTTACGGTTTTTATTGCATTCAATAATATTATACTGCAGATTTTATACTGCCTTAATCAAGTTAACATGAAATATACAGACTCATGCTAGTTTTGTCAACTGAGGTAAAGCAAAACTGCCAAACTGTTGGACGTATTTGTATTTTGTAAAAATAAACAGTTTATTTTAGCCACCTGAGAATCGAACCCATGATCAGAGACTCCATCACTAGACCGCTCTCATTCAAATGTCAGGCCAACCTCATTTATTCAACACTAGCTTTCCGCCCGCGGCTTCGCCCGCGTGGAATTTTGTCTGTCACAGAAAAACTTTATCGCGCGCGTCCCTGTTTCAAAAACCGGGATAAAAACTATCCTATGTTCTTTCCCGGGACTCAAACTATCTCTATGCCAAATTTCATCAAAATCGGTTGCGAGGTTTAAGCGGGAAAGCGTAACAGACAGACAGACAGACAGAGTTACTTTCGCATTTATAATATTAGTTGGGAAGTTGGGATTAATTTGTGTGGTTATTAAGAGGCTCTTACCTATGACAGTTCACTTGACCTGTCATTGGCTGTTGATCACGCGTTTGTGTGGTTGAAGCTTTATCCACTCGATCATCCCCTATAACAGAGTAAATACAAATGAGTAGGTCATCTTTATAGAAACGCACCGTACGCAGTTTGTATATGAGCACGCCAATACGTATGCGGCGCGCACGCACACACTGACAAAATTTAGCGTGGATTAGCGGGGTGTTGCGCCGAATTTTGTCAGTGTGTGCGTGCGCGCCGCATACGTATTGGCGCGCTCACATACAAACCGCGCTCGGTGCGTTTCTATGAAGATGACCTACTCATTTGTATTTACTCTGCCTATAACCAACTACAGAATAATAATAAGTACTACGTACAGAAGTTTTACTTCGCGAAGGTATTTAAAAAAATGTATGCTCAATGTCATTAACAATGTGGTGTAAATTTAGCTTGTCTCAAGAGTCAAGTATCATTTTGTTGACAAACGTCAGTGATCGGTACTACGCCGAAGTATAGCTTCGGCTGACTTCAGTAAAATGATGTGACGTGAGGTGCCAAACTGCAGAAAATAGCGGAGGAAATACATGATTTAGCATGAATTATCATGAATAATAATAATTATAGTCTATCCAATATAGCTTGATTAGAATGACGGCTGTCAAACGAATGTGACTAGTGATGGGTATGTTTCGTACGGTTCACATAGATGTATCGATAAGTTTTCAAAAAAATGATATGAAAAAATGCACCCAATTTTTCTTCATATATCTTTATTCATAAAAATGACAATTATGATTTAAATTTAAAGACAGTAAAATTTAAAATTCATGTCAAGGGTGTACAACCTAAGTCGTAGTCATTATCATCAGTGTTCTTCAGTGGTTTTTTCCTCTCGCTAGAGGGCGGTCGGCATCTCTTCTAGAGCAACGGTGCTATGAATACCCAAAAAATTACCGGTGATTGATTTCCGATGTTTGATTATTTAAGAATGAAATGTTTTTTGGTTTTTAATAGTGAACATTTAGAAAAACGTATATATATAATTTGACTTAAATATGTTAAAAAATTAGTTAGAAAAAAAATTTGTTGAATATGTTAAAAAAAAAGTTTTAAATTAAAATGACTTAAAAACTAAAATTTTAAAATTACTAATGATCAAAACTATTTACAAAATAAAAAATACTTCACCCCCAGCGCCGCAGTCAGGAATGGTGCCCAAAAGGCTGGCAGCATTGCCACGTTGAATGGCCAGGCTAATTCTCTGGGCGAAATAGCTGCCAGCCTTTTGATCACCGGTCACCTCGGTGAGCCTCTTTGCCAGTTCCTTATAAGAGGAACGAGCGCTTGGACCCCATGGTTTTAATTTAATATGCCATTTGTCGATATGCTCCAACACTAACATTTTTGTAACTCGAGATAACCTTGTAGAGACGTCGTTAATACTCTAGCTTGATTTTTATAATTTCGAATTACTACTTATTGGTGTAATTTAACGCTGCATTTACACGAAATTATCATTTTTATTGGAAGCACTGTCGTCGAAAATATTATTGTTTGTAGGTCAGACGTGAATTATTTCTTGTCCGCCAATATTTAGCTCTCATTGATCGCTACTACAAAGTTATGTCGTTACTTTTGATGACAGCTGTCATTCTAATCAAGCTATATTGGATAGACTATACTTATTTACCTCTCAATGTCTTCAGGCAACTTAAAAAAGTACATTCTGTGTTTTTATTATTATTTAGGAAGTTAAATACTGCACAGTATTTAGTACACCATTTTCTTCATTTTTTTCCATCATACACAAGAATACGCGTGCGTGAGTCAATGCTCGCTCGTATGTGAGGCCTTGTCGAATAGGAATCCTGTAGGGGGCCATCGTGCGTGTTTTGTTTTCGATGTAAACTCGCGGAGATGAACAGGCCAGAGCCCCGATTACGGTAACTTTTAACGTCTACAATCCAGACGCGTTTCTGATTCTGCGATACGATTGGTCAAAACAGCTGACGTACGCTGTTGAACGACCAATCGTATCGCAGAATCGAGAAGCGTGTCTGGATTGTTGACGTTAAAAATTACCGTAATCGGGCTCCTGCTATAACTAGTGTTGTGTTTCCAGTCCGACGCGGGCCTGACAGGCCGCAAGATCATCGTCGACACATATGGCGGGTGGGGCGCGCACGGCGGTGGCGCCTTCTCGGGCAAAGACTTCACGAAGGTGGACCGCTCCGCCGCCTACGCCGCGCGCTGGGTCGCCAAGTCGCTCGTCAAGGCCGGCCTCTGCCGTCGCTGCATGGTTCAGGTAAATAGTAAATACCTATATTTCTACCCATACAGTTATTACGCCTAAAGTCCGGTCGCCGAGCACACTCACTGCGGCCGCCCGTCGCATAGTTGCGACAGCGATTTAATTACGCGCGAGTGATAAGGATGGGTAGCTTGGGGTCATTGGACGAAATTCTACGTGCTCGGCGACTCGTCTTTTTGTACAAAACAGTGAAATAATCCTGACACTGACACAAAATGATATCCAGTGTCATCCAAAATCAGTTTCGTTTGACAGATCGTGATTGTTGCTCTATTACGAAGGAATATTAACTTTATGTTGCTACCTCATCATACAACTTTCCCCTGGGACAAAGTTGACCTTCACTGGTTGGGTTTTTATTGGCGATCAAGCTGTATATCCTGCTACACGGAGTTGCAGCGGTTGGGAACGAGAGGTGGGAATAGCCCCGTTATCTCATATCAGACAACGAAAGGTCATAATCTACATGAATAGAGCTTGAAGAATGCAGGCCAAATCCTCCATTTGCCTCTGATAATGGGATGTGCCTCTGTATAGAGACCATGATTATGATGATATCAGATGATTGATTAATTATAATATTTATAATGTAGTTAATCTCGCAAATAGTTACGATATCCCTAGTATTATGAATGCGCTACTTTCATTACGCTATGGATACTGTTTTCGTTCCTGATAAATTGACTGAAGCCATTGCGCCATAATATTATTGAGTACTAGCGGCCGCCCGCGACTTCGTACGCGTGGACCTCGTTTTACTCCATTAGGGGTGGAGTTTCGTAAAATCCGCTCTTAGCACCTATAGCGCATACATTTTAAATTTCAACTCTCTTACTTTAAACACATAGGACTTTCATAATATAAACTTCCAACCCTCCTTTTATCTCCTTAGGCCCAGTAGTTGATTTCTAATGATACATTTTCAGTATACATATGTACCACCACCACCACCATCATTTCAGCCATAGGACGTCCACTGCTGAAAATAGGCCTCCCCCAATGCTTTCTATGTTGATCGATTGGAAGCGGCCTGCGTCCAGCGCTTCCCTGCTACCTTTACGATGTCGTCGGTCCACCTTGTAGGTGGAAGTTCCACGCTACGTTTTCCGGTACGCGGCCTCCATTCCAGAACCATTCTGCCCCATCGGCCATCAGTTCTGCGTACTATGAGCCCTGCCCATTGCCACTTCAGCTTGCTAATCCGTCGCTATGTCAGCGACTTTGGTTCGTTTACGGATCATCAGATAACGATCAGAAATGAGGACATTTCTGATTCGATCTCGCAAAGAAACACCAAGCATAGCCCATTCCATAGCACGCTGTGGAACTGAGCTTCTGTATAAGGTGAGAGTGAGAGGCCACGTTTCCGAGCCATAAGTTATCACTGGTAACACACATTGGTTATACACTCTAGTCTTCAGGCATTGAGGTATTTTGGACGATAAGATGTTGCGTAGTTTCCCGAACGCTGCCTAGCCGAGTTGGATTCGACGATTGACCTCCTTCTCGAAATTGGACCTACCTAGCTGGATCGTTTGTCCGAGGTAGACATACCTACTTGTCGACAATCTCGAGAATTGAGCTTCCAACTGAAACTGGTTAGGGCGCAACATGGACATTCGACATAAGCTTCGTTTTGTCCATGTTCATCCTCAGGCCTACCTGTTGGGAAAATCGATTAAAGTCTTCGAGCATTGTGCCAAGATCTTCCAACGATTCTGCCATGACCACAATATCGTCGGCAAACCGATGTGTACACAGTACCACGATGTACCGAACATTTAAACTTTCAAGTCTCTTACTTTAAAAACCGAGGACTGCAATACAAACTTCTTTAACACTTTGATTTGCTCGTTTAAACACAGTGAATGATTCAAATAGGTACATACAGTGAATGGTTTAATTACATAAAATATCTTTATTTATTAAATTTTCAAAATTAGGTATTTACGAACAGCGCTATTCATAGCATGTAATATTTAGTTACTAATTTACTAATGATGTCGATAGATGGCGTTTGACAGCTTTGCCTTCATGAATATTTACGTACCTCAAAAATGTTTGTCAGGCGCAAGAAGATTTTAACCAATGACGATAGATGGCGCTTTTCCACGTCTTATGAAAATCCCAAATATTTTACGGGACCCTATTTTTTTCCAAAATAAAATTAGGCCTATGTTACTCGTGAGTTATGTAGCTTTCGAATGGTGAAAGAATTTTTAAAATCGGTCCAGTAGTTTTTGAGCCTATCCATTACAACTAAACAAACAAACAAACAAAGTTTTCCTCTTTATAATATTAGTGTAGATTTATTTATTTTATTTCAAGTCATCAAAAGTATTACCAAATCGATAGATGGCTATAAAACAGCATCACACTCCCTTGTGCACTTCGGTATAGGTGAACCTTATTATTACAATAACTAAGTTGCGTTTCGCCCGCAGGTGTCATACGCTATCGGCGTCGCCGAGCCGCTGTCGATCTCCGTGTTCGACTACGGCACATCCCACAAGAGGCAGAAAGAGCTCCTCGCCATCGTAAAGAAGAACTTCGACCTGCGGCCGGGCAAAATCGTCAAGTAAGTTGAAATATTTAAAGTGGATTTTATGTAATGAACCATAACACATACATTTAGAGAGAAATTTTTCTGTTTTTAATTCTTTTCTACGACGTTCCTATGCGCTTCGCACAATTCGTCACATTCGTCAAAACTAAATCGAAACGGTTATGTTCGCCGTTAGTCATCCATCTATGTTAATGCCAGTTTTTGTTAGTCATAAATTGTGAGATACGAACTCCTTACACAAACTGTAACGAATCATAATAACAATATCTGGGCACATTATTTATCGTAAACATATTTTGTTCCAGGGAACTGAATCTGCGAGCGCCCATCTATCAGAAGACGAGTACATACGGCCACTTCGGGCGCGAGGGCTTCCCATGGGAGAACCCCAAGCCGCTGGTCGTAGAATGACTTCGGACTTCGTATACTTAGAACATTGTAAATATTCCACCAGTATGTTATAAATAATACACTTAATCTACGTGTGTCTTTGTAGCGAGGGCGCGAGATGTTGTCGCTGACTGTACACGATAAATGTTTTCGCCGCGCGAATCTCGCCCGTGGAACTGCCGCGTCTCGCCTCCACATGACATTCGCCCGGTTGCATCCGCGAGATTCACCGTAATCGTTAAGTATTCACTAGTTTAGACACGTAGGTTTAACACGGTGCCGTCATTTCTGAATTTGAGTTAGTTCAGGGGTTCAAACGGCAGTCCGATCGTTCGAGAGCACCATTTTAAGCGATGAATTTTGTGATTTTATTACACTGCCTGTACAATTTTATTTTTTTAAACCTGTATGAATTTTTATCCAGTGAGCTAGATTGCAATTATGTTGAAAGTTCTATTTTACGCGAATCACTTAAACGATGGACTGTCCTCAATCTCGAAATGTTCTTTGAGCTTTATGATGTAAGTGCTATGATTTGCGGTAGAGTAGACTACTTCCTCGGTCGCGTCACAGTGCAGCGAGCGCGCGCGGCGGCGGCCGGCTGCCGCGTGCAGTGCTGGTCACTGCGTGTGTGCAGTGCTGAACATTACAGCGCTGCAACTAGGGTGGTCCTTATTTTTCGACTTTTGAATTTTCCCCGGGGCACTTTCTCATTCGATTATATACCTCTAAATATGAAATTAGCTATTTTTGTTTTTTTTTTGGTTAAGATTTAGAGGTCGCTACCAGCTGTCAAAATATTTACAAAAGCTTTGAAGATCTTAAATCATGGTTTCATAAATGTTTTATTTTAGTGTTTATATCACATTTTACATACAAATGAACATCGCATAGATAGAATGGACAATCACTTCTTGTCCCCTTCTCCCCTCAACCCCTCTTCTATACCGACCATGGTACCGACGCGTCGAGATACTAACAAGTAAACTCTTATATCTTAAAAATAATTGATTCTGTGTTTTTACTTAAAATTCAAACCTTGGTAGCGACCCCTAAATGTCTTTTAAAAATTAAAAAAATAATAATGAATTGCTTTCATATGGTATATATTCAAATTACGTGGTGCCCCGCAAAATATAAGAAAAAAATTTTTTTTCGTAGGAATAAGGACCACCCTACTGCACACTGTCACTGTGCAGCGTCGCCGCGCGTCCTCGCTCACTGCAAATGTGCGGCGCGCAGGGGCGGGGCTTAAATGATTTTGCTTCCTATTTTAGTTGTGATGATAAGTGTCAGTTAACTGCCTCGTACGATGTAAAATAATGCGTTAGTAAATTTATCTCCACCGCGCCCCCCGCGCGTCTCGATTTGTGTTGTGTTTCTGAAAAGGAAGCCAGTGGAAAAGAGCCATTTTGAAAACACACCGACCCGTCCGCGGGAGTAGTGCACTGTGCATTTAATCCGTTTTAATGATACTGTAATTCCGCCGGTAGGTTTAACGCTAACCGTACGTTATGACATTAGGAATTAACTTAGAGTTTTATCTATTTGTAAGGCGGTCATTGAGTACTTTGTGATTATATTTTTCGATCTGTTTCAATTTCGACCTGTTAAAAGTTTCTAATTGACTTCTGTGGATTTATCGATTTGTCAGATTGTGTAATTTTAAACTAATAAATTATGTTCCTGACGCAAGTCGGGAGTAAAAGAAGTGTTTTATTGTTATTTCTCCTTTTCTTTTAAATAGGTGTACATTTTTAAACTATTTAAATAATTTGAAGTAATCAATTCAACCATCTTGCGACGTGCCTCCTGGCTGCTTGTTGCGCGTGCGTCATACGAATGGTGTCGGTTGTCAACCAGTTCTGCATGTCAAAGCAATGCGAAGCTCTGAAAATGAAAAAAAAACATGACTTATGTTACACTTTTCGTAGTCACAGGCCTCCACATGAGCGCTTAAGCCTTTTTCATTTCATTTGATAAAGCGTAAAACAGGTGGCTAAATGACGGACTAATTTCAACTAGGTTTTTTTTTGCCCAATTACTTTTACAAGACAAAGGTGACAAAGATGTGTCACACAGTTGATATCTCTGCCTGGCAGAGTTAGACACCCCTGTGCAGTCACTGGACTTAGTATACCTATTTGGTATAGTTCTTGCAACTCACGACGGCGAGTGAGCTTTACTTGTGTGTGTACGTGTATGTACATAACGATAGTGTAATGTCTAACAAAACTTGAAAAACGAACAGTAGCGAGCCACCACACATGTAAAGCTCACTCGCCTTCATGATTATTGCAACAACTAAAACATGTGATGTGACCAGTGTTGCTAGGTACTGCTCACATTGAGACCTACCTTGGGACTGTATAAGTAGGCGAGGTCTCGGAAATGTCTCTGTCGTACACCCCAAGCGCGCGCCAGGGATCGATGTAGCCGTGGATATTGATCGTGTTGTTCACGTTAGGGTTGAGAGCGCCGTAAACTTCATTCACGCGATCGGCTGCGGCGAACACGAATTCCTCGTCGAATCTGAAAAAGAGAAGAAAATCTTTCAAATATTTTAATTAAAGGAAGAAAAGAAGGAACGGATTGTGGGAATAACTACTCGTAGTTCCATACACGTAGCGATCTACTTAGCTAGGCCACGTAGGTTCGTTATTACTTATTACGTACTTTTTGACGCTACCCTTGAGTTCCTGTTTATCCTGGCTCTTTCATCTGTAATTAAAACTCGTATAACCTAAGCTTAACTGAGATTTGAAGCTAACTTACTGTTCACTGAACGCTCTTCTGCAAATATCGACGTAGAAGTCGACGGTGAGCCACCTCAGAGGGTCGAACACGGTGCCTGAGCGAGGCGCGGTCTGGAAGTACCCGTACTCGGTGCACGTCTGGTAATACCACGCGCGAGCTGTAATGTATGATGAATTCATGTAAGGTCGCTAGAACAACAGATGAAATCTTAAATATCTGAAAATAGACAACATTATCTGGTCAGGGCATTCAAAACAAAAACTATTTCGCGTATCTTTTGATATTTAACCGATTTAAAAAAGGAGGTTCTCAATTCGGGTGTATGTTTTTTTATACTACTCATGTAGGTACATTTATTGAATTCAACTTTCACAAAAACCTTCCTAAACCTTATATCACATAATAAAATACAAGTATGGTTTATTTACGAAGCAAATCTCAAAAGTAAGTTTGCTTTGTATTTTACAACAGGCACCAAACTCATTTTAAATTCAGGCGTTTTAATTGAAACAAATAAACTCAAAGTAAGATCATATTTCATAGTGGCTTAACTTTACTATATTATGCTACTTATTTAAGTACCCTAATAGTAAAATACCTACCTAAGTATGCCAGCGCATAAAAGCTCTGCTTGACGAAGTAAAGTGTCACCTCCACAAATACTGTCTCGAATTATTAGTTTATTGTTTGTTTAGTATTGTTCTTACCAGATTACTTCTCATACTTACAGTTGGTATTTTGGCTGTAGGTATTGATAAGCGCCGCATACTGGATGCCCCAACAACTTCCTCCTAAGTTCTGTCTATGAGCGATGAATCCTCCAATCTGTTCCATTGGTGTAGAACCTGGCGAATGTTTATTATTAAAGTACTTTATTTATACAAATAACTACAATCAGACTTGTAGGTACCTATACTTTGCTGAAAGCTCAAATCCAGTAAGCGAATTGAACTGAGCCATGAGGGTTACGATTGTGACCGCAGTTGTTACAATACAAACGATAAAAAATCCGTTATCTCAGCACCAAAAAGCTGCAAAATACTAACGTCATCCAGTTTAAACTTATTTTAGTCTATCCATTGAACTGACCATTCAACTTTACGACACGGGACTTTTCCCACTGCTGCAACTCTGAATGTAGCCAGGATTTACAGCTTGACCACCAATACATTTAACCGCCTCTGTGGTCTAGTGGTAAGACCACCTGCTTCAGACGCAGAGGTCCCGGGTTCGATTCCCAGTGGATACAGATTTTTCTGTTCGGTTTGGTTGGTGGTAGGGCTTGTTCTAAGTCTGCCTGATAGCTACCCATCTTACCTAAGTCTGTCGCCATAATAACAATGTTAACAGCATTGTTGTGTTCCGGCAGTAAGAGGTAAGATAGCCAGTTCCTCCGTGTTTGAGGATTCCGGGTGAAGCTCGCTTTCACCTTCGGCCTGATCATCACTTACCATCAGGTGAGATAAAAAAAATAAAAACCCAACCAGTGAAGATCAAGTTTGTCCCGAGAGAAAGTTAAACTGTCTTAAACGCGCAACGATGCTTGCTTAAGTGAAGCAGCAAATCGAACGCACAGCGTTGAATTGAGAGAGCTCTGTGATTGGTTCGTGTGTCACGCTGTGCGTCCACGCGCACTGTGAGACGGGTGAGACCTCATAGTAATGTTTGTAAATACGGGCGTAAGAACATAGGAGGAGTTCGAAGTTAAGTTATTCGACTTTTCTCCAGTGTAAAGCGGAACAGGGAACTGACCATAAGCGTTGTTGACAAAGTTGTGACAGATCTCAGAGAGAGTGCCAGGCCGCGCCTGCTGCACCGCCCCGGAGAACGTCCACGAGATGAAGCCAGAGAAGTAACCCAGTTCGTACACGTCGTTGTAATCCACTAGAGGCGAGCACATTCTGTAACGTAAGTAACGTTTTATTTCATTTATCACTTAGATTTAATAAGCAAACATCAATTAACCTGACCCCAAGAAAATAGAGTAAGTACAAGTGTAATCCGTATAATCGGTAGGTACTGTAAGTAGACATCCATGATTACTTTAAAACAAATTAGTAGATAAGTAAGTAGCTTTTTGACACGGAATTGAACTTGCAGTTACTTAGATACGTGAGCAACGTGAACCACCATGTCAAGCGCCCATCAAACCTGTATGATGCCGATGCCGATTACTTTTAAGTAAGTACCCGCTTAGGAACTTATTCTTCATTTTGTTAGGTTCTAAACTTACCTATAGTTAAATTCCACCAGCCGCCTACCCTCCTCAGTCCCTAACGCCTGCACGGTGTCCGATATGCCCTGTCTTATTATAGACATGCACTGCTCGCCACCTTCCAAAAGGAACGCTTCATGGACGACTTCCAAGTAACCTGTAATTAATCCCCAAAGGAACTTAATCAATTTGTATAAAGAAACTAAACAAACGTGAGTCATATCTTTCGATTGCGGATAAACCAAAATCTTTATTCTCTTGGATTTTACTCCAAAAAAAAGGTTAATTGAAGGAACCAAATAATTTGCAATAAAACTGCCTTGGGTCGACTTTGGTTTAACCTGTGGATTATCCAGTCGTCGTAAAATAGGTACGCTCAATGACCACAGGTACCTAAGATTAAGGAAACCCTCGGTTTGTGTACAAAAATGGGGATCTGTCTCGTTTCCCCTGGGCTTTCCTCATGGAAATGAGTAATTAATTGGAATAATTTGCATTCGTCATTCATTTATAACAGCTCTATTATGTATTTATATGGTCGGAGTCGCGTGCGGTTAATTTGTAGATACATGGTGTCTAATTAAGCGTTCGATTTCCTGATGCAACTTATGTGTGCTTATGTCATGGGAAAACCAATCGTAGGTATACCCATACAAAACTATTATGTAATATTATTTTAATAATTAACCTTAGTCACACTAAAAACATACCAGTAAAGTCAATTTCCGCCTTGATAGGCCCACTCGAAGCTACCACACCAACAGCTAGATGTGGGTACCGTTGTTTGAACCATAGGGCCATGTTGGCAGCATAAGAACCACCATACATGACAATCTTGCTTTCAGCAAACCTTGGCTGTGTTTTGAGGTCTCTGATAAAGTAGGCTAGATCAGCCAAAGCTTGGTCTACGTTCAGGAATCGGAGATTTTCAACGGTGAAGTTCCTGTATAATAAAATTATAATAAGTTAAAAAGCTCGTGAAAAGAATAGTGACCACCGTACCTGCAAGATTTAAATAGCAACTTTCCTAACTGTTCCACTACGACATGTAAAATTTACTCAATAAGTGAAATGCGAGTGTCGATACTGGAAGCACTACTTAGGTAGGTACATCATCATTTTCATTTCAGACTGGCAATACACTGCTGGACGTTAAAGTTAAGTTACAGAAAGCAAGACCTTCTTTCCCCTAGCTCTAAATAAGTAGTCTTTAACTAAGTAATTAAAAAGCTTACGGGTAAGGCAAAGTCTCTCCGTAGTATCGGTGCTCAGTGTAAATCTGGTATCCCCTATTCTCCCTCGCCATCTCGAACATGTTGCCCCCGCGTAGCCAGCCGGGCGCAATGTTCCACTCTCCCCCTATAAGTATGAACACTGGGTACCCGGGCCCCCCGAAGAACTCTTCGTTGTACATGTAACGCTGAAATCATACTGACACATTTTTAAATGCACACCACACTGAACTGATAACGTCACAATTACTCACAATTAAGGCGGTGTTACGCCTAAAAAGCGATTTCTTCCAGACTACGGAGAGAACCGTTAATTAGTTACAGTTAAATGCACTTCCCCTCAGAATGTTTCTAAAGTACACACACTGTCATGATTAATACTCGCCTTTTAAAAATAATCAGTTCGTACGAATATCTTAAAAACGAAGGAATGTTATTTTCACTTTAAAGTGACAAGGTGCTACACTCCTACCTGTCGTTATCGAATTTACAATTCGATTCGTTAATTGTCATAAATTATCCTGAAAATGTGTAAAAATAAACCAACCATGTCGAAAGTGTCAGTATTTTGCGGATCAAAGTGATCGACGGGCATGGTGATCCAGGACGTGATGACGTCATTCATTGCCACAGCATCCCTTGAGTTGAATTCTTCAGGGGGTTGCAGGTCCACTCGGATAGGGGGCTCGATCACACGGGGCTCGGCCCACGCGAGGCTGAGGGTGGCCAGACATGCCACCAAGAATAGCTGAAAGTTTTCATAAACAAAACAGTTTTTAGAATTCTGAATACGTATATTTTGGCGTTAAGTAATTAGGAATAGGAACATAAACCCTAAAATAAATGTTTACCTTGTATACTGTAGCTATTTGTAGCTATATTATCTGTTAATTTAAGGATGCTATGATCAAATCAACTAATTTTCAACACCTATTAGGTATAATAATTATAATCAATAATAGTGTCTTGCTTAATTTAATTTGCCGTGCTATTACAGGGCTCTTATTTGTGACTTGTTCTGTATTCTGAGTTTGTGACTTTAGTTAGGTACCTAATCATTTATAAGTTAAACAACAAGATGCAATAAATGAATTTAGATGAAGCCGTCTTATTGCTGTTTGAATCTCAAAATAATCAGTAACGATAAAAATCTTGTGCTTTGTCTTTTGTGTTAAAAACGCGTTTTGTTTCTAAATTCGGATTTATAATCAGGGTCATTTGCACTTATAATTTTTTTTCGTCAAAACCGGTAGAGCAGTCTTCATTTTAATTTTTAATGGAAGATGGAGGTATTTTCATTAATACAGCTTTAATATTGTCGCTTAGGTACTTCATAGTAATCCCTAACTAATTTAAGTTAGGTAATTAGATACCCATAACTGTTTCCATAGGTAAGTTGAGATACCTACCAACCTACGTGACTGTCTTTAGGGAAAAAGTGTCGAAAAAGTAACTTTCTGACTTTCCAGGCCGTAATTCTATGTAAAAAGGGTAATAAAAGTACTTAACATACTAATGGCAAATAAATTACCTACTTGTTGCAAACACCATTGATAAGATCATGTTGTTTGTTACTAAGTAGGTACTTTCAATTTTAAGGAAAACGGTAATTGAATCTGAATTTTAGTGATTTTTAAGTTAAGCCGGCACCTACCTAAAAAAATGTCTTCGTTTGATAAAAAAAGGCTTACCATTTTGTTTAAAACAGGTACACAGTTATATAACTATTTATGTTCATTTACACCTAAATACTACACACAAATATTAATATTATCTAACTTAATTGGATGTCCAAAAGGTAAAAAAATACTAAAAGATTAAAATATGGGACTTCTTATCTTCGTTATGCGTTATCAAGTTCGATTAAAGTATTTAGAGGAAATAGGGAAAACTGTATGAACTTGAAGATGAAGATGCCTAAGACTTAAATATTAATCTGGTAGCTCTACCTCTTTCCGATAGCGAATACTCCTACCAAAGTAGGACCCAATCAAAAAGATATTTAGATATTATAGTCAGATAATTACAGTTAGTTATTTAAAAGCAAAACTGAAAACCTGAGCAGACGAGGAATCCCTACTAATGTTCATTACAACGTTAATCATATTTATTACATTAATTATTATTTTATTTTAACTTTTTTCTTAACCATGAGAGACGACTCTCCTCAAATTAAGTGTTTTATCAATCATTATCTTTTTATCGTTATTCCTAAAGTACATTTCCTAGATAATGTGCTTGTATTATACACGATAATTAAACGCAAATATCTACGTTTAATCGGGTTATATTCTAATACGCGAAGTCCCTCATGGCCTAGTATATCCTGGCGTATTAGGCTAGAGGTCGCGGGTTCACTCCCCGCGTGATTGAAATCGGATGGATGTTCTATAAGTATAATATTTGTTTATAATCCGTTTTGTTGCTGTGAAAATGTGAGTGCAGTAAAAGCTTAGTTTGGGCACATACAAAAGCTTAACATGCTTTGATGCGTTTACTTGATACTAAGGTACTTGATACAAATAAGGCCTACCTAACTTTAAATGCTTATATTTCAATAAATATTAACGCTAGTCAACAAAAACAAGGTTAATTAACTTCTTCCATCCTTTAATTTTAGCAATATTACAAAAAATTACACAATTTTTAACTAAATCTATTCAAAATAAGCAATTTACGAAACCACTGATTTTGGCTTTATTAAATCACCTACACGGAATAAGGCCTATATGATTCAAATGCCTGTAGACCTTAAAATTGAGGTTGTATTAAACAAAATGCGGTCTTATAACATTAAACACGTCGATTTGTTTGCGTTATCAAAATTTTACATACCAAGTAAACAGAAATATACTGTATATCTCTAGATAAACTTAAATTCCACTTATTAAGAATAATACATAAATTATAGATAAAATTAAATATTCATAGTAACAAAGTAATGATTCCTTACTTAAATTATAAAAAAAAATATCAAAAACAAACAATATTATTTTTTTGTATAGGGCTTATTAAAACACCGTGTTCGAATAAGGCCTACACATAAAACCTTTTAAATAAATCAGTTTAGGAACATCATTTAGTCTTGATTTTTTGTAAACAAAATGAGAACTCAATTTTCGTTAGAACCAGGGCATAAAAAGGCTTCTGAATCATCTTTACGAACTCCTACACAATCTTTAAGATACCACCAAAAGCAGTCCTTTATGGTCGCATATCTGCTACATTGTCTTCGAGACAGGCATGATAATATCAGCTTTAATCCTTTAGAATTATACATACGGCTTTTTTTTCTTTTTTTTATTGGTTTCGTATTTTGTTTCTATTTTTTACAGGTTTAGTATTTTTTTTTACTCTGTTTTCTTTTTATTTTCTGTGCTGTTAGTAACATTCTTATTAAATAAATATTTAGTTACTCTTTGACTCATTTAGTTAAATGAATTTGTCCGTAATCAGGTGTTGACATAAGTATCCAATATGGCCTACCATGCTGAAATAAGGCCTAGGCCTTATTAGATATTTCGCTCTTGTTGTCTTTAAAAATTTACAAATAATGCATCTATAGCCAGTAGTACAAATTAAGGTAATTATTAGCTAGTAAGAAATATTTAGAAACGATTACTAAGAAAAGCTTAACCTAAAACAGCGTTATTTTACCGAAAATTTAAGATGAAATCGCCAGATTTTTATAAGAGAGCACGAAATCACCCACCACCTTAGAAGAACGCGTGCCAATTGGTGCTGGGATCGTGGATCGGGACGCGCTTGCACTCTACCGGGTTGTAGGGCATATGAGTACGTGTCCTTGAAGTATTATTCCGGTTGGATTTGTTTATCTGTGTTTTCTGATGTATAGGCCTTATTAGAACGTAGGCCTTATTTGTATCAAGTACCTTATAATTAGGATTATGGACTGTGTGGCCTAAATAAGTATCAAAGGACCTAACTAATTTTATATTTGAGTATCTTGATCTTATTTTTCTTATGGCATCAGCCTATGATATCCTTGCAAGAATGCAACTTTTAGGTAACTACTTTCTGTGTTTAGACAAAAATTATTAAAACAAAGTTTGCGTCATAATTTATTTTTCCTATAGCTAATTTATACAGTATTAATTAAGCCTAAGTTTAATGGTAGGTTAGCAGTGGTCGCCGTATGCCCGCCCGCAGTCTCCCACGGTGCAGATCAGGTGTCCCGCAGGGTTCCCGCTTTTGTAAGGCCTTTGACCGAGGTAGTTGCCACTGGAAAAAAGTTTTTATGTATAGTAAAATAAAGCTGTAGGATATAGGCAGTACATGTCCACAATGTAATTGTTTGACGGCCCAAATAAAGAGAAAAAAGACTGAGAAATTAACTTTGTTGACAAATTGCACTAAGTACAAGAAGCTGAGAAATATTCTATAGCTTTACTCTACTTTATGGTAATCGTTCATTATCTATGAAAAACAAAACAACGCCGCTACGGTTGCCTATTGAATACGATTACCATACGATTTCGAGTTCTCAGGGGCCTAACCGTCTACTTCAGTTTAGTAAATAAATACTTACGTTGGTCCATAATTGCAGACCACCATGAATTTGTTCCACCCGCTCATGTTAAACTGTGAGATGGCACACCCGAGATGAGTTGAGTCTGACCACGCCATCTGTGAACCGAAGACCATACATTAATCTTCTTACTCTTAACGCAGTTTCGGGCCTTAAAGCAATTAAATTGATGTTAAATTAAGCGGAACAGCGGTTTAAGGAAAAGGTGGTCGTGTGGGAATTTGACTTGGCAGAAATCAACTTCTGACAGATCTATTAGACCAAATAATTGGCTCTTATTTAAAAAACTTTTCAAAACAATTAAAAAGTGTTCATACAAATTAAACCATTCTTAAAACTTAGTTTTTAAAGGTCGAAACTATTCTGTTCGTGATATTTTAATAACTTCAAAAAATCTAACTACCTAAAGGTGGGAATCGAACTGACGATCTTTCGATGGTGAATGCTCTCATCATCTGAGCTTCTTGAGACACTATTCTATAAGTTCTATTCTAGGCCGACATTTCAATTAGTCCTTCATACCTGAGTGTAATGCCCGATCTGGTTTGGTCCTCCGAAGTCGCTGCTGGAAAGGGGTCCGTACGTGTAGTCTTTGTGCTCATCGAACCACGCGGTCAGCGCCAGATTGGCGTCCAGTTTGTAGCCGAAGTCAGTGATGGAGTACCAGTAGAGGTTCTCGCCAACGGACCAACGGCCTGAACCTATGGAAAATAAACAAAAGTTTTAGCTTCAACATTTTAGATTTCGCATTCAATCTTTTAAAAAAATGGGAAATTTTAGTTAGCATTTTATTGTGGACTAATTAAGGAAATGTCGCTATTTATCTGCTACCCGCATTAATTACAGTGTGCCAGATACCTAAACTTGCACCATGAGCCTTATTTCGACAAATCAGTTTGATGATGAGTTGCAAAGAAAAATGTAATATAGGTAACTAGCGGCGCGTGCGCGACTTCATACCGTTTTACCCCCTTAGGGGTGATTATCGGTTTTCCCGGAAATTATTCGAACTTTTCTCGCCGTAAAACCATCCTTGGACTTCAACGAACATTTAAAAAAATAGTTGGTAAAAAAGTTCCAGGCGTTGATGAGTTACTAACTAGTTATGCGCTTAAATTACCAATACCAACCCATTTTGCGATTCATTTTTATATTTACTATAGATAATTTTAAGAATCCTTACCAACACTCTTGTCTGGGTTATGCGATTCCCTGTATTCAGAAGCCCATTTCTCTGCCTTAGCTGCCAGTTCGTGATCCCAGATCTATTTAAAAAGTTAGTGTAATAATAACAGTAATGCCGATTAAAATTAACACATAAATAATATTTTACTTTATTCATGTTATGAATCTGTCTCTATGTCTCTCTTCATTTTTTCCTATTAAAGTTTTGACTGGACAAAAGAGGTTTAGTCGTGGTGTACCTACCACTTTGCTTGAATTTATTTATGACACTTTTAATTATTCAATTTTGATAAACTATGCAAATAATTGTACCAGTATGTTTACCATAATATTCCGCTGTTATCATGAGTAAGAAACACAGAGTCGGACAAACATTGGGTAAGCTACAAACGTAGTAGAAACAATATGAAGTCCTTTATTGTTGTAAGTCATTACTGTAGAATGTTGATATAGATAGATCAGTGTTATACTACGGAACCATAATAATTTAAGCCAAAATCTCTACATTTTAATGATTAGGGCGGGTTAAATGAAAATAGTTTCAGTTTTAACGTATCGTCTAATTAGAAATTGACGAAAATGTAATTAATTAGTGCAATGACTGTCAACTTACCATAAACTTCATCTCAGAAGCAGCTGGTTGCCCCCCAATCTCGCCCTTGGCCAGCTGCTGCCGGCGAATGTTGTGACCATCCACGAACTTCTTGATTTGCTGACACGATAAATTCAGCACTGAAATATTAACGCACACGTAAAAAACAAAACCTTTTTTTTTTAACTTTCTTCACATATCTAGCTGTTAATTAGTAAGTTAGTACCTTTGCATTGAATGCAAGCCACGAGAGCCAATAAAATGAGTACGCGAACAGCCATTGTGTAGGTGACCAGCTCTGATAATACTGTAAGGCACACTAAAGACTGGCGAACTAACCACCCAGATTTCGTTTGTATTTTATACCAACAGAAGTTTGAAATTACGCGCGAGTGACTAACCGATTGTGGCAGTAGGGTTGCCAACTTGCCAACGAGAGATTTTGATAAAGTTAGCATTGAATGAACATAAATAACTGGGTGTAATAACTTTTTGAGTTATTGTTACTTACTTAAAGTAAATTTTCTTTAAGCTTAAAAGAAGTTTCATCAATTCCTAAATACTTATATTCAATGAATATTAAAGTACAAGCATAGGATTTTCAGGTAGTTAATTTGTTTTATTTTTCTGATATGAATATGGTGTTATATTAACTAAAATAAGTAAATAAATAAATCCAATTGATCGATTGGTATGATAATTAGAAACTGGATTCAAACCAGCGATCGTTGCTTAAAAGATTAGGTATGAATTGTTTATTAAATATTAATTTCAGAACACGTAGACATGAAAATAATGTTATCATGACACTCCTGCCTGATAGCCGTCAACAATTTAATTCATAACCATTAGGGAAGACCTGTGACATGATTCTTAAAATACTGTAATTCTTTTAACTGCGGGTTATTATGTAACATTAGCTATAGCGGGTAATGTAAGAATTTTCCGGAGTGGAATCTCGGTTTTGTCCGCATGAATTTTGGTACATTTGAGAAGATGAATATCTTTTTTAAAATACTGTATAAAATAAACTCATCAAAACTTACGTTTAAGAATCGTATAAATCTGATATTGCGATTGACTTCAATTGATTAAAAATAATAAAAACACGGTCAAGGAACAAATAAGCAATAACTTTCAAGAAAAGCGTAAAAGTGAATTATTTTTTCTCATCTAAGCATTGGAAAATTATTACCATGAAATAACAAAACAAGTCCTTCATCTATCTACTATTTATTAGGTATAATCAAAGCAGTAAAAATGCGTTGTAAAATTCTTTTTACTTTAAAATAGTTCGCTGCATAAACAAAATTCTAACATTCTTTAACTTTGGGCAAGGAAATGAAGTAGGTAAAACAACTATGAATGTTGCATACATATACCGTATCTCACTCTCTATGAATTTTAAACAGTGGTACCTAATACTGGTAATAGAACATTACAACAAAATCAGTCTTTGCACTGTAGGTACCTACTTGATCGGCTGAACCGATTTTGACAAACGTGTAGCTTTGACGTGAGTGGAAAATTTGAAAATAAAGATTTCATCTCTAAGAACAGACCCTATTCCCTTTTTCCGTTTAAAAAAAGGATATCCTAATTTAGGTTTATCTGAAATTTAGGCTAGTTCCTTCTAGTTTTCCTGTTCAATATAGGAAGGATAATGCGTAGTTGTAGAAGGATTACAAAAGGGATAAATTAATGACGCACTTTGGCATTATAATACCAAGAGTATTTTTTTAATCGTTCAACAAACGTCAATAAATTGATAAAGCCTAGGTGGCAACTAATAATATAGTAATTACTTAGTCATAAACTATAAAAATCGATAGTAATATTATAACTTTAAGTAATTATTATTGACATTACCATGAGTAAGTGGGTTTGACTTTAGCAACCTAGGTAGGAGTGAACACTGGTAATTAAGGACAATCCAGTGGGGATTTTGTTTTAGAATTTGTCTCTGGAGTAACCGATGATGACCAATACTTCCCACTCCCTGTCCTGCCGATCTTTTCTAAGCCGAATTGAACTTTGGCTGCTGAACCTAAAGTTCAAACTCTCAAGAAGCTTTATAAGACTCCTTTTTTAAAAAAGCTATCCTAAGTTTGTCCTCACATGTATACAGAAACTAAAATTTATTAGGTTTTTAATCGTTGAAATAATAGTTACAAATGACAAACCTAAGTTAAGTAAGTAATAAGACAAGTTTAGATTTTGATTCAAATCGAATTGGTCCATTGTAAAACAATTTATATTTACACCTTATTTTATTAAATCGTATTAGCGAATACATTTGAATACAGCAAGCTTTATGCACTTAGTAGGTAAGTACTGTATGTTATTCCTACCGCAATCTGGGACGTTTACCTAATGATAAGTGGCTAAGGGCATTATTTATAAAATCAAATATTCCTATCACGCCCTTGCAATAAAGGTGCATTTGAAAGTTTACTACGATACAAAGAAAAAGAATGTGTCACCTTTCACTTGATAAATAATACCTACAATGATTCATTGTGTTCCTTTAGTTCCTTACCTACTTTGGTAAAGCAGTTTTATTTCTAAGTAACTAAAAATCGAATTTATTTTTCTTTTATAATACGTGTAGGTGTATTCTTTGATGGGTGTTTAGTCTCAAAAAAACTTCACAAAATTTTGTAATAAGCGGGACATTATTTTATTTTAATCAAAATGCAACAGATTTTTGAAGTTTTGCTTACCAAATCGGTAAAAAATATTATGTAAAGTTCGAATGGTAGAGCACTAGAGCTGCAGCCTACTGCACAATTTTTTATGGATATGAATTTCAGTGTACTTTTCAATTAATGGAGTACTTAGTCGTCTAGTCGTGTGAATATAACCTACCTAGGTAGGATACTTCATCATCATCGTCATTTCAGACACAGAACGTAAGTACACTGCTGAACATGTAGGCCTCCCCCAAGGATTTCCATATTGACGTTTGGTAGCGGCCTGCATCAAAAGCTATCCTGTTACCTTTATGAATGAGGTCGTCTGTCCACCTTGGGGGTGGACTTCCCTTGCTCTACAAACTTAATTTATTACTTGCGTACTTTGCAGACTTCTCCACCGCTCTCTATTTATTATTATTCATCGAAAACGTTGAAAGACTTACTTACTTAGCCTTGTTTCTTTGGAAAAAATACATTATTATTTGTTCTGATAGTTTTGTCTTATCTTATCTGTCTATCCTGTTATTTTATATTACTTATGCCCACTCATTTATTACTCAAGATGTGATCGTAAAATAACAGGAAGGATGTGCATCATGTTTGATTTCCGAAATGATTAATTTGCTAACATAGGCAGGTAATAATATTTACAAATATTTCAATGACTACGATCCAATATTTTTATGAAGACAAGACAAACTGCTGTACAGTTTGTCGGCAGTTACATAGATTTTACTTAGTAATAATCTGCCAAACTGCTGAACAGTCTGTCATTTTCCATGGTATGGTAAAAATATTCGAAAGATTAGGATGCAAAAATTTATTACTGGTAGGAGGCCTGAACATGTAATGTAGGTACCTAACTAATTAAAACTTATTGTCTTTCTAATTTAATTGGTTTTATAATAAATATTTATCAATTAAGTACTTAAGGCACAATTAATACACAAATTAAGACATGCGAAGGCAACTCTTGACCTACATAAAGATGGGTAGGTACGTAAATTGGTGTAGCAAATTTCCCGTTTTATGACACATATAGGTTATTACGATTCACATTAGTCATTTGTCTCTCTCATTGTCTACTTTTTGCCTGTGCGGAAGGGAAAATTATGCGTAATTAATACTTAAGCCGCGAAAAGGTATCGACAGGTCAAGCGGTCAACCGTTACCTAAATTGACCGTATACAAAGGAAACAGAAAATATAACTGCCCAGTCATCCAACTCGTTCACGTCAAGTCATCGCTCCATGGTATCAAAAGTAGGTCTTGCGTCAAAAGGTAGACCTAATTTTAAATACAGAGAAATGCCTCATTTGTAGATACAGAACCAGAACACAAAACAATGATTTGGCCGCGCCCAGTGGTAATCAAAAGGACTCTACATTGATCAGTCAGATGCAGATTTGAATGCAGCTCGTAATTAAAAACATTTATTCTGAACTGAAATCCAGATTTAAGTCTGTGTCTGTGTTCAAATTCAACCGATTACTATAGTCTTGAATTTGTGCTTAACTTTGATTCGAGTTTTGAACTTCAATTCAGAATACAAGTACCTGTTAGTGACTCTATCCAGGTAAAGTTGCTCATGTTCATCACTCTTTGTAGTCTGTAATACGTTTGTTGGTACGCGAACCACCAGGAAAATGGACCATCAGGTATAGGTATGCTAAGTAGATTGCCTACTTCCTATCACCTTTATTTAACTATTTCTATACTTAGACAAGAATAGACTGTAAATTATTTTAAAACAGATAAATCTACACCAAAATGGCCTTTGATCAATATCTCCTTAAACGATCTTTTGTGTCGCGAAAGAGGAAGAAATCTTGCGTCGTGATAAAGGTTCATATTAAAGTAAACAATATCTTTTTTGACGAAAATTATAGTACCTACCATAACGTTATAGTTTGTAGGTTTACTATAACGTTAAGGTAGGTAACTTGATCGCTCTTTAATAACTTGTTCTGCATTTTTATTTTACCAACCAAGGTGAAGGTTCTTCTAATTCGTAGTTCTAATACGGAACACTAAAATAACAATGCACATCAATTCCCATTGTTTGATGTGTGATGAGAATTAAATTTGATTTTAAAGTAGGTACAATATTATTCATGTACCTATCTTTGCTATAGATCTAGAACTTATTTTGGTAAAAGCTTTTGTGAACTAATGAAGATCGATTTGAAAATTAACAACTTCGATTCCCCGTTTAGACACAATGTAAACTCATTCTACTACATGTAGGTATTTTTTCCAGTTATAGAGCACTATAGTTGTTAGCCATTGCATAATATACAATTTTAATTGTGCCAATGGATCTGAATAGACTGAAATATTATCAGAATATAGGCAAATATTTGCCGATATTGGTTGCGTTGATAATTAGAAAATAACGAAATAATGATCAGTCCATAGATTTATTTAAGAATAATATTAGTCGACAACCCTAAATTACCATACTTAATTAGTACAAGAAAATGTGAGTTAAAAATGTAATTACATGAAAACATGATGTTTACAAGGAAATTTCTAAGAATTTGTCGTGAAGCTTTTAGACATTTTCTAAGTAGATACCAGATAGGTTATGGGGTTCCGTAGATAGTTGAAGTTACCTGTGACATTTCAAAATAATATTTTTTCAATCACAATAAGCGATAGTGCGATTCTATAAAACCTTCATCTAGACATCGCAACTAAATCCGCAGTGATTTTACAATTTTAGACACCCAGCAGAATATTTAGTCGGCCGATAGTTTGGTAGACTGTCTGTTGTGACTTGTGCTCAAAAATGCAGCAACGGAAATGTGACCCTCGTCACGTAGAAACATACACAATTATAATTATTTCAGAAGGTGTGTTACAAAGAGAAACTCTACCTAAGGATTCCTAAACTGTATTTCCTTCCGTGCGTCATTAAACGCAACAAAACCTCATTCTGAATAGCCGATGCATGGTCGTGCTCGTCATGGACAAGTGTTCACTGTTCACCTCAGATTGACAGCATGAAAAATCACTTATAACGCCTGAAACGTGTTTTGAAAGACGCTGAGAATCCATTGCTCGACTCGTCCCGTTACAAAACGTGTCATCTTGCTTTTTTGTACACGTAATCGTAATTATTATCTCGACTGTAATTTACCTAGTCTAATACAGTGGCAAGTACGAGTAGGTACTTATTGTTTGTCTATTTTCAAATGATTATGGAAATAAGTAGGTACATGTGTGCACTGTGCAATTTAAAGCAATGCTCAGATGGCAAAAGGAAAGTAGGTAGTTCGTTTATCTTACTAAGGCACAGAATAAATACTGGTAATAAGTCTTTCAAACTTTATTCAGTTCATTCATTAGTAGCCGTGTTACACTTACCTTCATAAGTAGACGTGTGTTGTGCGATCTACTCGTAAAAGTACGAGTGAGTAATTTTTGTGTTTTCCCCAATTTGTATTGTAAATTGATTCCAATCAAAGTTTATTAACTATTTAGTTATTTGATATTTCCCTACCCAGAACAAGTTATGTCCTAAACAGTCCCTATAAACTGTATGGAGACTCACCACAGAGGCACGTAAATGCGATGTGAATGACAATGAAACAAAGTTTAAAACCGTTTTGAATTTATTAAATAGAATCAGCAACATTTCCTATATTAAGTAGAGTAACTTTGTTAAACTAATGTCGTGGACAACTATCTCCATATCGCAGTTTGTTGCATTTATCCTTCCCGACTGAACATGTCAATTTCTGAGATCCTTTGCCGCTGGACTCGTATGGAAATTTATTTAGGTAGTTTCCACTAGAACAAATAAAAGACATGAAATGTAACTGGATAATTTCGCTTTTGATGAAATTTACCGCACCATAGCATGTAAATGAAATTAGAAGAAGTGAATGACTAATGAAACCATGTTTAAAAATGTTTTGAATTTATTGAATAAAATCCACAATCTTTCCTCTATAGATAGATGGAGAACTTTGTCGATCTATTGTCGTGGACAACTATCTCCATATGGCAGTTTGTTGCATTTATCCTTCCCGACTGAACACATCAGCTTCTGAGATCCTTGGCCGCTGGCTTCGTATGGAAATTCATTCCTGAAGTTTCCACTGAAACAAACAAGACATTACATTTTCTAAAGAAACTAATTAGGAAGATTAAAATAAGTAGCTAGGTATACGAGTAAGTAAGATTTGATCAAATAACAAACAGTAAATGGCTCTAGGCAGGCAGGCAGTTGAAGGAACCCGATCATGACCAAGTAAAATCCGCAGTGGGAAACTGCGTATCACTTCACACAGTCTGCGGCAGTCTCCCAACTGGGAGAGATGGCGGGAGATCGTGCGGAGAGCAGTATCCGCCTCTACAACCGACGTGAAGGCCTAACCATGAGACCGTTCTGCCAAGAGCGAAAAAACTAAGAAGAATAAATGACTCTACCTACAGTGAAGCCTCAAGCCGAGGTCTAAGAATGGTGGTCTTACCATTACAATACCCACAGACGGTTAAGTTTCCAAAATTCACTTACGGTGGCCCATAGTTGCAGACGACATAATACTCCGTAAATTTCCCGTTCTGCAACCGTGACATGGCGCAACCGACGTAAGTGGTGTCCGACCAAATCATCTGGAATGTTGAAATGTTGATGGTTGAAGAAATGGATACAGTCAACCAGTGGCGGCGTAGCATAGGTAGGCACCNCGTCATAATATAAATTATAGCCTAAGGCACCCCAGAATGGCACCCCCCCTTGTCATGACATCACGACCGTCCTTGCCATGCAGATGCGTCAGTGAGTACTAATCTGCGCGACTTTGTCACCCCCTGATGCTTGGCACCCGGGGCGGACCGCCCCCACCGCCCCCCCCTTACGCCGCTACTGCAGTCAACAGCGCATCAAACTATTTTTTTTTTTCACATATCACAACAAATGTAAGTTTTAAACAGACATGTGAAAGTAATAAAAAGCTTGTAATAAGATAACTTTATGGTGCCAGTGTTGTTTACATTGGTGTAACGTCGTCGACAGTGCGACATATTTATTATGTACCTAGTTTTAGTATGACGGAGAGGAGCAGAGCAGAGGAACTTTATTAAATAATACCTGTTTTAAGAAAATATTTATTACCACATAATAAGTACCAACCACGTACCAAATTCTGTATTCTTTTCTACTGGAAATTCGATAGTAACCACGAGGCAGTTTTGTTTCGAACTTTGATGTGAGAGTAGACTACATATCTGTTCGTTCATTTTCAGCCAAATAACATTCACTGCTGGACAAAGGCCTCCCTTAAGGTTTTCCACAATGAACGGTCCTGCGCTGCCCGCTGTACCGTAGGCCTAGTAGGGTAAAAAAGCCTGCCCACGCTGCGTCTACCAGCCCGTGATCGTCACTCGAGAACTTTTCTACATTATATTACTTAAGTTAACTAAGTAGATTTAAAACTAACCTGCGTGTAATGACCAACTGGGGGCGAAGAGGATTTATATGGCTGGAATCTGTAATCTTTATGTTCCGAGAACCACGAGTCGATCGCGTCGCCGATGTTAAGGGTAGAGTCCGGGTCTGTTTTAGAGGACCAAAAAATGTTCTCACCAGTCTTGAATCTATTGGAAGCTGTAATAAAATTGCACTTAGGCTTAGTAATGACTTCAGATTACCTAATAATAATACAGAATGTATAATAATAATACATTAATAAATCAACTAAAAGTGACTGAAAAACAAACTGATTTCCCCGTAAACTATAAAAGTAGTTAGAAAATAAGTTACAGAAGTAATCTTACCAATTTCTCTGTTAGGATTATGTTGTAGTTGTCGTAATTGTGACACCCAGCCAGCTGCTTTATTAGCCAGCTCTGCATCCCAGACCTGATGAAGGATATGACGTCATTAAAAAAACAATTGACAACCATAGAAAAATCGCCAAAAGCATGTTTCCTGTTATTCTCCCTTTCCCTTAGTTTTAATTTCAGCTTGCATTCTATGAGAAATTCATTTAAGTATGTTACGGTTGTACCTACGATTACGGTTCATCATCATCAGTTGCAGTCCACTTATAGTTATCCTGAAAAGTATTGGATTCCACAAACTCACCATGTAATTCATTTTAGTCGCACCAGGCTGCCCCGCCACATTCCCTCGTGCAACCTCAAGCCTTTTCTGGTTATGCAAATTGACGAACTGGCGGATATCCTTACAACTGAGTTGGAGCACTGTCAAACGGATTCAAAAAGGAAATTGTTCAGTGAATAGCTGGTAAATGCTAAAAATCTTACAAATACCAAAAACTGTAACAAAACAAACTTAAATGCGTGGAACCCTAAGCTCTTGGTTCACTACTTTTCTCACGTAATCTGGCTATACCTACTCCACACCTTGGTCAAATTGATTGACAGACTAAGTAAGTTGGTAGGTATACCTTTCGGTTTGGTTCATCGATTAATTGGGATAAGCACACCATTTCTTCACTTAACACTGAGTAGGTATGTTAAAAATTACTATACCATGATAATACTAACGTTTGCTGTGTGCACACGCGCAAATGGCCAAAATAAAAACTGCGTGGAACTTCATTCCTGCGGTTGATTTGAATGACAAGCGGCAACCAAGGAAATGAGCCTACATTAGACCCGTAGGCGCTGCTAGCCGTTTTATAGTTACTTAGTGCTATCCAGATAAACAAACATTATCAACAGTTAAGAATCAATAATGTCTAGGTATCTTAATACCGATGTCAATTTAGGAAAACATTTATTGATTCTTAACCCTCGATATTCTAGGAACTGCCCCCCTAGACAAAACGCACTTTTTGATCGAATCGAAAATCGAATCCGTCAAAACTCCATACAAAAAAGGGGCTTTTCGACCACTTTTCGACTGGTTTGCGATTATAATTTGCACTTTGTCTAGACCCACTGGTTGCGGCTAGCGGAGTGAATTACTGACCCTCGATAGGATTGACAACGACGACTTGTAGAAATAAGGTAAGTACAAATTATGAAGGGAGGTCTGCGTCACATAAATGGAACTCGTCCCACATGATTTAGGTAGGTTCCCATAATTATGCTCGATACTAATGAGCTTTCGTTATAGAGCGGAGAGGAGAAGTGGAAATAATTAAATCTGATTGGTTATTCAACACACTTCTCCGCTCTGCTCCGCCTTGGTGAAAACCGGGTTTTAGCGTCGAATCCGATTTTCCACAGGGGTCGGTTCTGGGTCCCATCTTGGGAAACATCGGATACGAGTGGGTCCTGTCCTGTGCGGACGCCGTCCTTGTTTCATCTATCTAGGTATCATAGACATCATTCTACATAAGCCGAAACTCGACGGCTATAGGTAATAAGTGGCTAAAATTTGTACAACACTTATGGAATATTAAAATTAATGCATATTTAATTATGTTGCACTGTTCTTTTCAGGCCTGTATAGGCCGTGAACAGTAAACCGTTTCCTTTACAGAGGCAACCCTACGTTAGCTAGGCAACTAACTATCTATATTCTAATTACTCTTACCATCAAGCTACTTAATAGCTTTTGTTTATATCAATAAAGATAAATTATCATAACAAATGAATAGTCAAATATGAATATAATAACAACTACACATAATAAAATTATCACTATTCAAATCGCAACTAAGTACTTAGTTCATGATTTTTCATGCCAACATTGGCAGTCTTTAACTTTCATAGTAGGTACTAGGTATACCTACATAATATTATATTTTGAAAATGTGCATTAAAAAGGAGGAAATTAAGTAACTGATACCCATTTAGTCCCCATCTCTTTTAGACAATTTAGTTTTGTTAAACCTTCCCTCGAAAACTGTTGGCGGTGTGCCTCACTGTGTGTGGTAGGTATAATAGGTATTCTAGGTAGGTAGTTATGCAAGAAAAGAATAATTTATTTGTTTTACTTTTTATTTTTTCTAAGTTTTCTTCACAGGTCACAATTACAATGGAATATTTCCACAATAATTTTTACATGTTTGTTCTTTATTGTAGATTTTACAATGCAAATTTTCGAATGCAAACTAAACTTAGAATAACTACTTACAAATAAAATTGATTAAATAATAATAAACCGGTATGGGCTTCACAAGTACAATATCACAATTAAATTTCCTATATGTCCATCGAATATCAGATGTTTTTTGTATTACAACTTATTTAATTATAATTTTAAAGCAAAATTCTGCTTTTCATGCTTATGAGTGTTATTATACTACTTAGATAAATTTGAATTATACAACAGTACGCACAAAATAATACATATCTAATTTGAGAAGCTAATGTTATTAGAAATTGATCAAAAAATAATTATTCTATTTTAGTAATGCCATTTCAGTATACATCTATTTTAAAGGTGCCCTTACACAATGGATGCAAATCTTTGCATATAAGGTGATATGGAAAGTGGTATTTGAATTTTCTGTTGGCCCTATTAAATTATTGCATTTTAGGAGCAGAATCGCCCTTACGGGGGTATCCTTCCGTTTGGCCAAATTACTTTTCGTCAAATTTCACTTCGCAAACAACTTATCGCCAAAGTTTCATTTCCCAAATGAACTTTTAGCAACTGTACTTTTCGCAACTAATTCATTTGGTCAAATTATCATTTGGCCAAATTTTACTTGGCAAATGTTTATTTAGCAAATGTTTTATGTTGCCAAATATTATATCCCAAATAATTTGTTTGGTCAAATTGACACTTCACATACTTACCCACCGTTACCCACAAATCAAAGCATAAGGCACATGATCATGGTTTTCACAATAATTTTATGTAAAACATTGCAGAAAATAGTATGGTTGCAAAAAGTAGGTATTGCAGAAAATAGTAGGTTAGGTTAGGTTAGAACAGTGACCCTTTGCGCGAAGGCGAGCGAAGCGTGCCGCGGTAGCGGCCGCCGAGCGCTAGAATCACCTCTATTGTTAATTAATCATTTGGAAATTTCGATACAAAGAATGAAATAAGGAAATTAATGTAGAACAAATTTTATATTAACTCCCCATTAAACAAAATAATAACCACAAGCTAATTTGTATACCATTCTATGCACCAATCAAAATAATTTGTAAATAGTTTATCGTGAAATATTTTTGCCTAATGAAACGTTTGGCAAACCATACTTTGCCAAACAATAATTTGCTAAACAATAATATGCCAAAAAAAACATTTGCGAATTAAAAGTTTGCAATAAGTTGCTTTGCCAAATGAGAATTTGCCAAATAAAAATTTGCGAAACGTTGTTTGCGATGTGATAATTTGGGAAACGTTTTTTGGCCAAACATTAGTAATCCCATTACGGGATGTGCGTCCATTGTGTAGTAAAGGTAAACACTGTGGCACCAAGTAGTTGTATTTAGGGTGACTTTGCAACAGATGTGTGTCTGATCACTGATGTGCTATCAAAATTGTACACTTTGTGATAGGTTGATGATCGTTTTGGTGATTTTCGTTTGTTTTCTGTGACATAGACATCGCATGTAGCTGATTTAATACCTTCCATAACTTTTTTGCATGTGTAAAAGTGCTTTTTAAAAGCCTATTTGCAAAAATAAATGAGTTATAAGAGTTTCATAAAAGTTCCACACGCACCAATAAAATTTGTAAGAATGCATCTTCAAGCCTTCAACGAAATGCAAAAATATGAATACTTTAACAGCATGATTTACTTTAAACCCCTGATTAATATCTGTATTTTGTAGTCAGTTACGATTTAGTTTGCATTAGTAAATACATAAAGATATTGCTTTTCCGATATAATCATTTCCGTGCTTTTTTGGCGGATTCAAGAAAACTACTTTGCTTACTTTTAATAAAGGCCCATTATTTCTAAAAAGCAGGCAACTAAAAATATCGAAAAATTACATGTAATAATGGAATTAAGTCATCGATCCCGCAACGTGTTTTACGAAATAAAAATATTTATAAATTAAATTGAGTGCGCTAAGAAGAAAATAATGACACGAGTTAGAAAAAAAAATAGAGTGCATCAAGTTGTAAGTAGCACCTCTGACATCCAAACTTACATTCGAATTAACAAAGTTCACCAATGGAATTACCACCAGCTTAGTAAAGTTGGGAGATCGTGTGGCTAAGAGATGTAACGAAGGAAAAAATCTCGCAACCGCAACCGATGGCCTGGTTTTCTGGAGAATCTGTGGCATGAGTACTATTGCCGAGTCCAAATTATATTAAGTACATTTTTGACTCTTTGAGGACTCTCTCCTAAACACGTCCCAATTTTATAGTCTGCCTTGCCACTATTTTGGGTTTCTCTCCTAAAGCTGTTGCATAGTATCATTCGCTTTTGTGGTTTTGGGTCCATTAGCTAACATCTTGCTGCTTTTACATTCTTTCAGCCTTTCATTTTATGTACATATGTATTTGTATAAATACAACATATTGTATGCAGATCTATGAATTTGCAATTACTTGTTGAAAATATTGTAGTTTGTATACCCATGTTTCACAATTCACAATAAAAACATTAAATTCAATTGATTGTACGATCCGATCGCATTACTAAAGCACATCTCACTAGCTTATTCCACACAGTTTTGTGACTAATAATTTGAAAATAAAATAGATGACTCATTTTCAATAATCTACTTAAGCCCGATTTCTACCAAAGCGGAAAAGACGAGACGACGAGATGTTTTAAATCAATCAGATTACGTTATTTCCACATCTCCCTTCTGCTCAACTTTGGAAACGGATCGAGCGGAGAAGACAGACTTTGCAGACTTGACAGACTTTTTTTCTATAGAATTTGCCTTAGATATAGAATTTGCGCCTTGCACACAGCTCACAGCGCACATCTCTTCTCTCCATTTCGGTGAAAACCGGGCCTAAGGCCGCTTGTAAACATCCGTTTTTTTGACCGGACAACGGCCCGATTTTTTCACCGGATTTAGCGGTGGTGTATGGTTTATAATGAACGTGTGCACATGCATCGGACATAGGTCCGGCGAGAAAATTGACAGCAAACAAAGGATATCCGTTTTTTGACGGTCCGTCGTCCGGTGAAAAAACGGATGTCTACAAACGGCCTTAGGGCCCTCACCCACGGCAACTTTTTGTAGCGATACAGTCGCGCTGCTGTAGCGCGTTCGCGTTGACATGACTTTAGTGCGTTGCAAAGGCGACTAACGCGCGTTAGTAGCGATGCTGTCGCGCGTTTCGTAAAAGTCGCCGTGGGCGATGGCCCTTACTTGCAAAGCTGCAAAGTAGTATACTAGAATTAAGATTGTATAATTTACTCTTGATCTGCGTTTGTAACAGTGGTCACATTAATCACACTTACTTATTCCTAGCACAAAATTCACAAATCCGACTTCTTTTGAAATTACTCTGTTCTACCAGACCGATTAAATTACAAATATCTTTGTTGACCATCGTATAGTATAGATAGACAATTTATACAATAATGAACTATCGTGATGTAGCATAATTAAAAAAAAATCTCACAAATCAATGTTTTACAATTTATTTTTCTTTGCGTAATGTAGATAAAAGGTTGTTTGACGACTTAACAATTTTATTCATAAATACTAGTCTTGTGACACCATTTTCACTATAATTTTGTCTCCTTTTATTAGTGATTTAAACATTTCACAAAAAGCGACACATTTATTGGCTAAAATTTTTCGTATTAATTTACTAAAATGATGACACAGGAATAGGTAATTCGTAGTTACATTATTACCCATTGTGTAGCAACCCTCAAATGTAGGAAAATAATAATCATTATTATTGTACAACTTTGATATGATAATTAATAGTAAAAATCAGTTCAATAATACAATACTTTTTCAATTATACCTAATAAAAGTTCAACCCACATTATTCAAGACCTTCACTGACACATCTGTACCCCCAGTGAAAANTTAGATCCCTTTTCACTGGGGGTACAGACATAAGACAATTGATAATATTTTTACAATAGCAACATCTACAATGAAATTCAATGAAGTTGAAAACACTTGACTTCATATTTTATCACATAAATAAAATTAAAATTACGAGTAAAACATATTTCACTATCTTTTTATTACATTATGGCAATGTAAGAACCATAGCAAAACTCCGTGTTTATAAAAACAATGTAAAATATGTTCAGAAACAATAGATTTGTGATGATTCCAATTCCGATCAATTACAAACAAAACAAACATTGTTAGCCCGTTCTTGTGACTATGCTAAAAGGTCTTTTAAAGGCTAGCGTCCACCTGTCCGCATCGTACGCATCGCACATCCGATACGATGTGTTTTGAACGATGCGTTGGTTGCGTACGATATCGACAAGTGGACGCTTAGCTTTATTGCTTCGTCTACTGAATAAATAATCATAACCTGTACTTTGGGTAAAATTGCTAAGAATAATAATGTTGCATTTAATAAATTAAAAATTAACATGTCATTCAATTGAAACCTACTTACGCTTACACTTATAAAAGTCTACAAATAAAATCATTTGTAGAGTAAAAAAATAAGAGGAAAAATATTTTCCAGTTTTGTCTGTAATTCTAATACAGAAAGTAGCGCTACGTTTGGCACAGCGGCAAATGTGAACATGATTGAACTTAATTGAGCCACCAAATATTTAGACACGTGTAAGATAATTAAAAGTAACGCCATTTCATGTCGCTATGGGAGTAATGCCCAATACTATGGGGAAATGATTTGTTACACAATTCCCATTCGATGACTTCAGATGCGATATGTTTAGTTTATAATACTGTTTAAAATCAGATCAACAAATCTGAGAAAAAGTAACTGATAAAGGCTTGAATAAGATACCATGAGGTGTGTTTGAGGTCAAAGGCAGACTCGGTTTTCCATAAAACAAGCTTTATTTGATAAGATATGACAAACGAATTCTGGATATTATATTTTATTTATAACTCCAGTCTGTTAATATGACAGATAAACTACACTCTAAAAAAAATATCAAGAGGCTCGGGCGGTTAGCCGCGTGGCGACCAAAGTTAACATAATTTTATTGTTCAGAATACCTTCGGCATTAAAAACTTAAATTTAGAGTTCCACCGTCCGCTGTGCCAACCAGAGCGCCGTTAAACTTGCTAAGTGTTGGAATTGTCTAGTTAGTGCTGGGGCTGTCGGTGCCGCTGCCGCTGTTTTCGGCGGCTGCGAGCGCGGCCTTAGTGTTCTTGTTGTTTTTCTTCGCAGACTTGCTGAGAGTGGCCACTTCCTTCAGCAGATTCTGTATCTTGGTGTTCATGAGGTTAAACTTGGTCTCGTTCAGACGCTCTTTGTTCTTCATTTCGTTGCGCAGGTCTGTTGTGTTGTTGTGGTGCTGGGCTTTCAGCTCGGTGATCTGAAATTGTTTGTGCTTATTATAGAGATTGTTTTGGTCATGGTAGAAATAAATGAAAGAAAGATGAGATCTACAAAAATATTTTGTGTTTTTTAGGTTTTCAAAACGCTGCTTCTTTACATCTTCTGGCCACATTGGTTTTGGTCAGTCAGTCTTTATCGTGTGTCAATTAACAAGACAAAAAGTTTTAAAACTACTTACCAGTTTATCTTTGGCAAGTAGCTCATGGTCTTTCTGTGCCACCTTTTTCTGCAGACTAGCAATAGTTTCCTTCAATTGAGTCATTGCCACGACGTGATCCGAACTGTTTGGATCCAACTCTCCTGCAAGAAACATGTAAGTTTATAAAAATGCTGTATAGGTATATTTGAAACTGAAGTTTTTAGTGTCCGACCGAAACTAGTTTTACGACCGAAACCGAAACTGAAAATGAATTTCGGCAACGGTGTCTATTTCGGCCGAAACCGAAACCGAAACTTCCTTACAAGACTCATATTTGAGGGAAAAATAAAGAAAACGTTATTATAAATCAGTCAGTCTTTATTGTTTTCTCTTTAAATTGCATTAAAAATGAACTTATAAAGCGCCTTTTTACTCTAAATGGTCTCAAATTATGTACCTATTAAAAAAGAAAAGAAGGATTTATAGTCTAGATTTTTACTCGCAATATTCAGGACATCTACATAACCCGTCCCATGGTCGGGTCTTTTACCTTAATAATTTCTCAAAACAAATTTGGTAGTACGTAAATTAGTATCTACTGTAGGTACTTGCCACTTGGATACCTTGGTGATAATTATACTAAAATGAACTTTGAAACTCTGAATCCATAATATTATCACCATGAAATGCACTATAGTCATTACTAACTACCTAACTAATGTTTGTTTACGTATAGCATTTGCGAACCAAAAAACAATTTATAGGGTAGATTAAACTTGATTATACTTTTATCAGTCATATTGAATTTTTTTTTTATGTTTACTACCCGCTCTTATGTTATAACGACATAAAACGCTTAACGATAAAACTTATCAAATTCAAAATAAATCACTCGAAAACTCGCCACCACAACAAAACAAAACTAACAAGCATACAAACAAGCGAGCGAATCACGACATTGGCTCTGATCGGATTCATTCACTCATTCAACGCGCCGAACATGACCGATAACAGCACGGAAACTCCCGAATGCACATTCGGTTTCGGTCGTAATTTCGGCAAGTTTGCCGCCGAAAACGAAACTAAACCGAAACTCAATCGAAAACGAAACCGAAACCGAATATTCGGTCGGACACTAGAAGTTTTTAGGGACAATGGCTCATTAAAATATGCACTGTTATGTCATTGTAATAAGTGCTAAATTGAAACAAAAAGTAATTTTCTCATGTGCTGTAAACTAAACACTATACATCTTACGTACCTTGCAAGGGATTCAGCTTAGATTTCTTTTCCAATGGTTGGGAATCATTCATGGAAGAATCACTTGCATTCATGGACTTCATCATGTCAGACTTCCGTTTTTCTTTATGGCTGCTTTTAGACCTATAAAACAACAAGTTTATATGGTTACAAAGGAAATGAACAATATTACGTAAACGGGTGTATTGATAATTAAATTATCAATATTACAGACAGTTCTCGAACTTATGTAACAGTGAATAAAATCATGCAAATTCAAAACAAAAATAGAAACTACAGGACTGTCGTAAGTCACTTTTTCATGCCAGTTCGAGACATGCCTGTTATTGTAGAGGAGGTGGAAACTAACTTGTGAGCCCTGTGCTTGTGTTTGTCAACAGAGGATAGATGCTGCTTAGTCCTTGCCAATGCTCGTTTTAGCGATTGAGTACACAGCCAGCATAGAAGCTTTCCATCAACCTATAATTTAAAATGGAGTTTGATTTGAGTAATTTTGGTCAAGAGGGCTGAGTGAGTATGATGAAAGGAAGACTTTTAATTGTAACAGTTGATTTGAGTTACCTTTTTACTGTCATCATGGCGATCGAACGCACAGCGTTGCTTGCACTGCTCGCAAGTCACGGCAGGACCATACTTGCGCTCGGAGTTCACGCATCGCTGACATTTGTTCCCTATAACATTAAATAATTTATTAATTGTCCAAGTAAGGATTTATTCAATGTATGGAACAGAAAGCCACGAATTTAACTTACCAATGAACGCTGCAATGATGTTGCAATATTCACATGCAGTAGGTTTTCCATAGGCCTTCACATTAGCTTCACATTTCTTGCAAATTGATGAGGTGTTAGACTTGCTGAAATATAACTTATATGAAACTAGGTCACCATGACAATGTAGTTCAGTAGTCACATAAAACGAAACAGCAAAATTTTTACAACATTGTTTCTCAGAAATTACATAAGTACAATACTATGCTTCAGTTAGGCCCTAAAGTTTAGGGACTTTTTTATAGTTTAAACAACAGAGTATTTATAAAACATTAATTCTGTATTCTAAGAATGATATACATAAATGTGTGAGTATTATTAGGCAGTCGCTAAGCTTTGTTGTTTCACTAAAGTCCTTCTATGCCTCCCTAAATATCTAACCCTAGACCATAAGCTGTCTAGTTTTCATACTTTTACGATCCAAAAAATACAATTCATTGTGTGAAGGTGTTTTGCCTGTGATTTGGTAATCTGTGTTGTTAGTTAATGTGAAAAGTAATTAGTTATTAATGGAATGATTACTCAGTTTACCAGTGGTATCATTATCATTAGTAAACAATGATTACCTAATTTATTTGAGTGGTTTTATATGAACATGAAGAAATAAAAATGCTTTTAAACATTCCTTAAAAGTAATGTCTAGCTAGAATAAGAAACAACTTGGTTTCCAATTCCTTCCAATTCCAAAAATTCCAATTTCCTTTAGTTGTTATTATGTTTTTGAAAGCACTGTTTCCGTAACAAAGATATAGCTGTACTTTACGCAAGGATTTTAACCTTCAACTGGTGACGTGACGTCAAATTGACGTCGCACAGGAGAAAACGTTACATATTATTCAAACGGCTTGTTCCCCGCCCCTGCACCCCTCAGTAGCTGCTTCTTTCTTAGTTTGGCGTCCGCCGTGACTGAAATCGGATGTTGCACGCGCTTAATTAGTGAGATAGAGGGTATCAAACGTCAATTTGACGTCACGTCACCATTAGTGTCAGTGATTTATTTCATGATTTGTTTCATTTAGTGGTTAAAAACCAATTCAAATGACNCAGGGGGGGTGCCATTCTGGGGTGCCTTAGGCTATAATTAATTTATATTATGACGGGGGGGGGGAGGGGTGCCAACCTATGAGGTATTAATACAAGGTGTCTCAAAAGAAAGTTTACATTTGATTAGTCTTTGCGAGAATTTTACAAAAATGGTTATTCTGTGACTGTAGCGCGTAGATTTCGCCACTTAAATGATACTCCAAGCATTCTTCTTATTAGGAAATGGGCCAAAAAGTTTTAAGAGACCCGTACAACGCTGGAATAGTAAAAATCCGGGCAACTATGGTCATCAAAAACGGTAGAGAACGTGGAGAGTGTTAATCAGTCCGCTCGTGACGACCCGAACCTTTAAATTCGGCAGCACATTAGTGCTTTAAATGTGCATAGATCATCATTACACCACATTTTTCACAAAGACCTAAAGCTATACTCCTACAGTCTGTCTATAAAGTCGTGACATGAATGTTTGAGGAACTAACATTATTCATGTGTCTGGCAACACCAAAGATCACCAAACATATGTACATCAGCTGTCATCGAGAACAACTTGTGGAANACTTATTGTTTTTTAAGAAGAAAATAATTTTTGTTAAATTCCTTTGTTTTTTAAAAATTCTATTATGATTGATCTCATGTCTACAAAAACAGACCAAAAATGACTGCCATGTTTCTAAGCGTTATTTAATTAAAATTTTCAATATTTATTGCGACCAGTGTGTTTTATTTACGAAAACAAACTCATATTCTTATAAATAATGTAATTTATTACATTGATTATGCTGTAAGTCTCCTGAATTTCGGCTTTTTAGTATTACGTCAAAATGACGTCACCTCACCAATACTGTGACCCATATTCACGTCACCAGTTGAAGGTTAAGTTTGATTGCAATTTTACAACAAACTGAAAAATGCTGAGTTGATCAATTGACAATATTAGAAAAATTAGAGGGATTTATCAAAATAAAATCACCTTCAAAAATTATACCTAAATAGTAGAATTCCCATTACAAACTGTAAAAATTTCAATGAACATTACAGTTTCAGGGTTTACACTAAAATACATATCAAAGTTAGTCTAAAAACACATTTTATGCAAAACATTTTTTATGGAAAAATGCATGTATGGGCAGTAATTGTTTGTTAAAAAGTTAAAAATTTGTATTATCTTCAGTAAACATTAAAACAGGACTGCCAGCCAATATAAGAATATGGAACAAACAAGGTTATAAGAATAGAAAGTCATAGGATGGGGAATACTCAATTCTTCAAATCAGAAGTCAGAGAAAGTGGGGATTCCCACAAACAAAGAAAAGTCAATGACTTCAGTACAGAATCAATCTAGGATGACTTTTATGACATTAGTAGTGGAAGAAAATTACAACTATTACTTTATTTTCTTCACTTGGAGAAGATCTATAGAATTTCAATATTAGTTAGTTAATCCATAAACCCCAAGTGGTCACATAAAGACTATGTATCAATTGATTTCTATTATCTCAATTCACAGGAATTGAAGGGTTAAAAGGATAAGGACATTAATAGAACCCAAAGTAATCTGATGAAAATTACAACACATTATGAGAAAGCATTTGATTTATTAATACTAATGCATCAATGAACTTATTGGCAAATGACACTGACCTTGTTTGTTGAAACTCAGAGCGACAGTAGGTGCACTTGACAATGGGGAACGAGCCACGGCATTCCTGAAATATCAAGACATGAGAGAAACGACTGTGCGTCAGATCTGACGTCAATGTAACAAAACTTGGTGACGATTTGTTTTCCCCAAACGATGTAATGAAATTCACTACGAAGTTGAGCAGTTTTTAGTTAATTTATGACTAAAATTGACAGCATTTCATCACGTTACATTCGCTTACCTTACAAAGTTGTTCTCCAGGAGACAGTTCTTCGAAAGGATGTCTTGAAAAACAACGAGAACACGCAAATAACGGTGTCGACGCAGCGGTACTCATATTGTTTTAATAAATGTATCAATTAAAAACACAAACGCGTACTAATTATAATTTAGTGAGAACTATCAATGAACGAAAATTGTTGAGGGATGCACAAATTTCTACAATCAAAACTGAAAAATGGCGTCTCTGTCGTTGACTGACTGACAGATCAAAAAAGTCGCGAAATGTGGCATTTTAGTAGTGATGTCTGTAATAATCGATTTTGTATAGTGATGACTATTTTACATTTTACCCAAATATTTTTTTTACATGATGTATGTTTTTTTCTTTTATTTGTGTGTGTAGTGTATCAAAATTGTACATAGTTAAAAAACAAGTAGGAATAACTTGTTTCTATAGAAATCCAATACTTCCGTATCTTTTACTACTTAAAAATATCGTGTCAGGCTCAGGGTGTTTGTTATTAAATTATGTAGGTATAGGTGTACCAGAATCTCATGGCAAATAGGGAAAATAAACTTTGTTGAGAGCAATACTGGGGAAATTGGAATAAACGATCTTGATACTGTTTAATTTTTTACTTTTATGACTTTAATATTAATGAACATGAAGTACGAATATACATTTTAGGTAGGTATGTGTATGAAGAATGTTGTTATACATCGGGTTTTTAACATAGGAAAATGTCTTGAAAAATAAATAAATCGTATTATTACTTTAAGTAACTAATTTTATTATGCATCATACTTTTAACTTATCACTTCATTCAGAACTAGAAAACGATTCTAAGAACTCCACTTGCAATTTCCTGTTCTTCAATAGATGATCAAGATAAAGAGATAAAATCTTTTTCAATTTTCTTTACATGGTCATAACATTTTGACCATTCCTCTGCACCGATTTGTGAGATATACCTGAAAACCCCGATAAAGTAGCTATAAAGAATAATATAAAAAACATAACCCTCCTTGTGACGTGGTTCAAAACATTTCAGTCCAACTTACTGTCAACTCGACGACGAGCTTTAGAATCAAAGATTGACTTTGAATTATGCCTTATTTTACAATTCACATTGAAAACAATATGACATGCTTGAGTTTTTTCGACTTTTTCACAAAAATAACAAATAGTCAAGAAGAGATTACAAANCATAACCCTCCTTCTGACGCAGTTAGGTAATAAACTAAATGTAGGTAAGTATCAAAACATTTCACTCCAACTTACTGTCAACTCAACGACGCGCTTTAAAATCAAAGATTGACTTTGAATTATGCCTTATTTTACAATACACTTTGAAAACAATATGACTTGCTTGAGTTTTTTCGTCTTTTTCACAAAAATAACAAATAGGCATGAAGAGATTACAAAATTTCTGCAGCGGCTGACAGATCTCTTGATTTACTTTGACAGGTGACAATAAAGCCATAGACAATGGCCATATGAAAAACACACTTTTCCAATATTTTTGTTTGCCATGAGATTCTGGTACACCTATAATAATTTTCTATGACAGGTGACAATTAAACCATAGACAATTGCCATATGAAAAACACACTTCCAATATTTTTGTTTGCCATGAGATTCTGGTAGACCTATACTCCGAAACGGCTTAACCGATTTTTATGAAACTTTTGTTTATTATTTTTTCTTTCTCTTTATTTGGGACAACAAACAGTTACATTGAGGGCTTAAGTACACAAATCTTAATAACTTAAAAGTTGAGTAACAATGCAATCAGCAGATAGGGACGTTTGTCACAGCTAGTAATTTTTTGTCACATATTTTTAGGTTAATACTAAGAAAGTGTAGAAAAATAATGTTGGTTTTTTTTACTCATATTATTGTGTTACACTATTTAAAATTAAAACAAATGATTGTAGGTACTCCAATTAACTTCTCCCCTGTGAAATTGCTTAAAATTCAATAGGTAAACAAAGATTTATTTACTTTTTGTATTTTTCTATTTTAACTCGATTACGTAGGTAGGGGCAACACTATTCCTCCTCTTGCTTGTGTTCCTGTTTTATTAACTTTTTACATGATTGGGAGTTTTTAGATTGTATTATGCTTTGTTTCAACTGGTTTAATTGAATAGAAAAGGACAGGAACTTAATTGTCAATTTTCATCAGCAATAACAAAATACATAATGGAATGGAACACTTCATTATTTTGCGTGGTTTTTCGTGAGAGCTACAAAAATGTTTATTTGGAGATATGAGTTCGTTTTTTCTTTCAAAAGACTGCAGTGTTAAATTGTTTATTTAATGTGTGAAAGCTAAATCTAACCAAAATGACTATACCTCCGTTTCCTTCTCAGGATTTAGCAAAACTTGTGCTTGGTATGACTATGTAATTGGCGGGAACCTTTTTGTTGTGTTTTGTAACGGATAATCCACTAATTCATTGTTCTGTGTTGTAGGATATCTTGCCGAGGAACAGTTAATGACCGCCTATGATGAATTCTTACAAGCTAGCCCTTACTTGGATGCTTTCGGCAATGAGTATGACAGAATATTCATGACATCACTGAAAAATATTCTGGCTGAATATAGGGCAGTGAAAATTTATGGTAAGTGGACTACTGATGCTGTTAGCTCTTGCTTAACATTTCATTTCATAACTTTGTTGTTTTAGTGGCTAAAAATCACATAATAAGTTCACCTTAGTGACTTGCAAAGATATTCAGTGACTACCATACATTTAGATAGGTATTGATATGCCTATATTATAGAGGTTTACCTACCTGCTATTCCTACCTTTTATGATGCTACTGATGCTTTCATATTTATACACTTGTTATTATTATAATTAGGATCATAAACATAACCTTATAAATTGATTGTAATCATTACTTTCCAGTTGAAACTTGCAAGCCATTTGCACTTAGAAGAAAGATATTTCAGTGTACAAACTTATTAGAAATTGTTAAGTTATTAATACAGTATGTTGATATTAATAAGCTTCAAGCGCAAGAGAGCAATCAAAACAAATACAGGTATGGAATATGTTACATAATATTACAGGAATGTACACAGTATCAAATGAGTCAATTGTTTGTATTTTATTTTATGTTAACTCAATTACAATTTATAATATTCATTAGATTGACACTGATAAAATTGTTTGTTTGGCCTAGACAATGATCTCTATTCAATAATTCCTAATGAATCATTACACACTTATTGCTAGTAACAATTTTTTTAAAGGAACTTTTATTACTTTTCAGTGCCGAAAAACAGAGTGTAGGTAACAAGACCAATGCATGTGAAGTGTGCTATTCATTGAAACTCGATAGTTGCACATGTAAAAACAAAAGTATCAGCCTCTGTAGCTCATCAGCAACTCAAATTTCGACATCTAGCGTTGAAAACTCAGTAGAAACTACATCACTGTCGGATTTACCAGGTAACCTTAATGAACATCATGTAAAGTTGTGTAGAATTGTTGTTTCATACCCATGAAGAAAAGACCATTATACCTATTGGATGGAATAATAATAATTGTGTATAGCTGTACAAAATAGGGAGTAGAAAAAAAGAGAAAAAAATACCTACTCAAATAACTTCTGGTCTTGTGAGTAAACTGTCTATGATTTCTCTATGATTATTATCTTCTTAGCTAAAACAACTTTCTTTCTTTTTGTAGAAAATATTATAGCTAAGTTTTGTGTTTACAGATGAAAATATGACAAACTTGTGAAAACATTCCTATTGGATGATACCTAGTTCTAATTTGATTTTATTTTTAGGTAATCACATAACTTGTAGAAAGAAAAATCCTAAAGTTTTAAGCACAGATCAAACAGATTCTCAAACAAATGAGTCCATTGAGCCAAAAACAAAATTGGCAAGTGAGACAGAGACAGCGGAGAAGAACCTCTCAACCAACACTAGTTCACATAACAAGGCTCAGGATGCTTCGCAAAATACAAGTACTTTGGTATGTATTTAATGGAATGTTTAAACAGTTTAATACCTAATGACAGTTTTAACCTTTAACTATGGACGTCGGGTCTCAGAGGCCCACCCCCCTTATCAATTTCTCGGTTTAAATACCTTCCCGCCACGTGCTGCTCTCCACCATCTCAGTAGCTTCAGTTTTAACTGTGTTTGGACCGAGGAGGCATAAAATCGCGTCTTCCGGCACTTATTACTTGAGTAATAACCATCCAAAATTTAATCGGGGTCTGGGAGACCTGATAACTATAATTTCCATACAAACATATTTGTATGGATGTGACTTATCATCTATATTTTTTTTATATTATATCATTATAATATGTTGTAAATTGTTCTAGTTTAAGAATACATACTGGCAGAAAGTATCTGAGTACATCAGCTATATTATTAGCCCAACCATCTAAGTAACATTCCAGAAGTAAGGTTTTACTAGTAGACGATCCTTCTTTTGAGTTTAGATATCTTAGAAGGCACCATTGCTGCAGATTCCGATTCTGAATGGTGTACATTTTGAAAGAAAGATGACACATGCCTGTAGAGAAAATTTGTATTTAGTGTTCTAGGCCACTGTTCATAATTTTAGTAAGTTTAACCCTTGTCAAAATTTTTATTTTATGTCTTTCAGAAATTCTGTTTATGTTTTTATATTACACGGTTATTAATTAGCAAGGAAAAAAATATTAGTTTGATTTATTATTATGTGACTGTAATCAAGGAGCCTATATGTGATGCCAAGTCAATTAACACTGAAAAATGTCTATGTTTTCTAAATTTGCAAAAAAATAGTTAAATAATGATTAAACATTGATTACATTTACTACTAGATCCTTAATTAATAGTTATTAGATATATATCAACTCTTTGATAAATTCAAATTGGTTCAGATATGAAATTATGAAGAATTTTAGATAGGGGTCTGTGAGACCCGACGTCCATGGGAGTGTGATTATTTTTTCACGTTCATAGTTAAAGGTTAATGCAAAAAGTTATCACTGATTATAGTTTAATAAAGATTAATGATTAGATTAAGTAACTTTGACTTGTTTCACTTTTTTATTACAAGCTTAATAACTTGATATTTTCAGCAACATTTTTTTTCTAGTTAGAATTTATTGGCAGTGAAAATGTATGTTGTTTTATTTTAGGGAAAGTCTGACTCTTTGGAGAGTAAACAAAAAGAAGAATTTAACAATATACTGAATCAAATGTGCAAGAAAAATGAAACTGTTATTA